ACGTGAAGCAGCTCTGCCCAGGGCTCCTTCCAGCAGATCCTGCCCCAGTAGACACCACTGCTGCTATAACCACTTCTTTTACAGATCTTTCCTTAGACAGCATGAGGTGATTTAACAGTCAGACTCTCCAGCCCTCTGGAAAGCCTTGTGGAGAGTCAGAGCAGCACACTGCCAGCACCACTGACCTCATTTTTCTGAATGGAACCGGAGACAGAAAGGCAGCTCACAGGGTTCAAATAAATGCCATCATTCCTAAACGTCTCCTGCAGTCAGAGCAATATCTATCTTTATGTAGGCAGCCTGGAGGCAGTTTTACTGCCCCTCTCTCTCCATGTTCCACATGCTATATATTTTTTTTCTTCCTAAGTAGCCATTAGTACTCAGGTACAGTCTTGCTCTGTCTGTGGAAAAGCCTGTGCTGGCCCAGTGCTCTTGTCCACTGGCCTCTTTTCCTAAAGCTTCTCCCTTGTGATTCTCACTGGATTTCTGTCAAGCTGCATGCAAAGAAAGTACCAGTCTGGAAACTCTGGAGACATATTAGTGTGGCACTGTGCCAGCACTAAAATTTATCATAATGGGCAGGACACAGTGTGCTAAATCAGCTAGAGAGCTTCCAACACAGCTGCATGACCTCCAGCCCCTCCCAAGTGTGGCCACAGCAGGGCTATTCCCATTTACATACAGGCATAGCCATTTTTTGCCTCTTTTGGATATTTTTTTTTTTCTGTCTGCCAAAGCTCGATGGCAGGTTATATTTGGATTGCACCCAGTGTTGATGTGAATTGCTTATACAATATCCCAGCTGCTCTGTTGGGAAAACAAAGCATGTAAAACTAATAAAGGCAAATAAAAGCAGTGATTGCATCAGTTCTAGGAATCCTGCTACTTGTGGGGAATAAAGTCTAAGTAAATATCAATTTTTATATAGTAAGATACTATTTAACAACCCATTATTATGTAAATAAGGCATGAGTTTCTCTGATCCCCTAAGACAAAGAGACTGCTCTGTGGCCAAACAGATTAGCCTTTTCCATCTGTGCAATTATGAATCATAAAAGATACTTGTGCAATTTACTGGAAAGGAAATAAATGTATGAATCAGCTAAAGGATGCAATAGTCTGCACCCAGACCTCTGCTCAGCCAGCATCACCTATTCAGCAAGGAAAGACTGTGGTGACACCCACTGTACCACCACTGCAAAGTGCTCTGCTACATCAGCTCTTGAGGAGTGAAAGCACCACTCGTGGAAGTAAAATTTAACTGTCAACCAGGAAATTAGATTATCTCCTCTGAGAGAAGCACCATCAGAAGCATCCATCAGCACCTGCCAAGTCATACATCTTTATTTCTGTTTGGTTTTGCAGACAAAAGCTTGTACTTTTTTATTTCCTCTCATATGAATGTCACCAGAGGCTTAAAAAGTCAAGCTGCTACCACACTTTCTACCTAATTTACTGGACTGTATCCTTCATTTGTGTTTCCTTCTGGAAAGTAACTGGTAAAGTGTCCTTTCTGGGTTTTATGCTGTGAGGCTCTAGATTACACACGTTATTTTAAAACTTGTGTTTCTGTTTTTTTATCCATGTACTTTTGGCTGTAGATCTCATCTTTTATCTCTGCCTGACCTCTGGCCCTCCTCTGATGCTCTACACCAGCAGGCTGTTGTGCAACCAGCAGCACCAGCTCCCGCTGCTCCCTCTCTCTGTATTCCTACTTATTTGATGGCTTCTGGCAATTGTAGCTGCTGGTGACCCACACTGGCACAGCAGAGAGCGCAGCTGTGCCAAGTGTGGCCGCCAGCAGGTTTCAGTGATGCTAAAGGAATGGATTGCAGGGAACCTTTATTTGAATGGGAGATGCAGTTTCTACTTTTAAGTATGAAAAATATCAGGGTTTCTGTGGCTGTTTGGCTCATGCTTTTTGCAAGCTGCTTGTAACTGAGAATGGGAAGATATTCAAGCGAGGTTAAATTCTTTCAGGAATTTAAAAAGGGCCAAGGCGACAGCAATTTAAAAAATATGAGGATTCCACATGATGATGAATAGTTGCTGTGATAATCTGAGATGGCTAACCCATGTATACAAATGCACTCTGATGGGTCTGACCTTTTCTGCTGTAAAGAGACAACTTTTCATTTTTTTGATGTGTATGTGTGTGTGAATCAGAATAAACGATGTCTGTGCCCTACAGTGCAAAAGTGCAGCCATGTGACTCATGCAAATCACTGTTCTTGGAGGAGCATCCCCTGAATAATTTTGTCTCTGCTAATTGGTTGTTACAGCAAAAATGACAAGTATCATTTGTCATTACACAGACGCTCCGGGTGTAACTACCCCATCTATATTGGATTTTACCGTGTGCTTTTCCACCCCAGAGAACAGTTGTCCTGTCACTAAGGCAAGGACATTTCCGTGATAGGCCTGCTCAGAAAAAATAAAGCAGCTTGAAGCATTTCCTTCTCCACTTCATGCACCATCATACAGGGGACAGTAGATGTGGAGGGTTAAAGCAGCCCCGGGACATGCCTGTTTATCTCCATCTCCAAGTGTTCAGAGCCTGCTAAACTTAGCCCTACGTCCATTTTTGACAATAGGCTGAGCTGCTGAGGGATTGGGGCAGATGCTTTTTCTTTTGGGTTGGCATGGGACTGTATTGTTAAAAAAGCAACCATGCACTGTCCTTTCCCTGAGACACTGAATGAAACTGTGGTTTGTTTTATACTGCAGGATGGTTTGGTAAAAGCTGTGCTAATTTGAGACCTTTTGATAGTGAGTAGAGGCTTTTACTTTTATCTGAGAAACAAAATCATCTCTTCAGAGGACTGATGATAATCAAGAGCACTGCATTAGTTTTCCAAGTAGGTAATTTGTAGCGCTTGGGGAGATGATGTGAAGGCTTTTTTTTCTTTTTAACCTCTGATTCTTTGCTTACAAATCACAGTAAGAAGGTTGGAATCAACATTTGCCACCAGCAAGCTTTAAAGCAGTGGGTTCTGCAGCATCAACCTGCATCTGCCATGGGTGCAACTCTGGGACCCTGGTTCTGCAAATGTTAAAATAAGGGTGAAGGGCTCAATTGCTGACTCAGAGGAAGTGAAGGAAAGATGCCACTGTGATTGTGGAGCAAAGCTGAGCATGTGTCTGACATGTGGGGCCTAGGTAGCATCACACTGGGAGTCAAAGAGTTTCTTTTATTGGTATTTCCAGCACAGGCAGTGCAAGAGGAGAGGGAAAAGACAGAACAAAATCGAACACTTCAGCGAGTGCCATAGGCAGGTCGTTTGTGCCAGGCAGGGGGTACTTTACAGGGGACAAACAGTTATACAGATAAATTTAAACCTGCATGAAGTAACTGTTAGCAGCTATTCAGTCTTGGATGAAAGAAACAGCATAGGGTTTTCTGCACTGGGGAGGTTGTCATGATGAAGAAATGCACCAGCAGCTGGAAGCGTGCGTTTATATAAATAACTGAGCTTTGAAATACATACGGTTGCTGAAATGCACTGCAGGATCAGGAAACCAGATAACAACTAAAATAAATATATTATTTCTTTTTTAAAGAAGCACCACTGAATTTTTCCTTTGGATTTCTGGTGACCTGGTGTGTGATTTGTTAACATTTGCCCTTTGGCAATGTTTGGCACCAGAAATACCTTTGTGTTATGTCTGGCAGGCAACCGACAGTGCTGCAGTGAGACACCTGTGCACACCTACCCAGGCCGGGGGGCTGCCTGGCTGGGGATCCTACTGGCGATGCCAGGCAGCACAGAGGGATCAGGACACCACTCTGGAGCACATGGAGTGGGAGAGGCTGCCAGGGTGACAGGTGGGTCAGTGGGAATGGCAGACACAAGGGAGCAGCTTTTCCCTGCCCAGCAGGTTGGGGGTGAGCTGGGGCCTTGTGGGAGGCCAGGGGCAGTGGTTCCAAGAATGGGTCAGGTTGGAAGGGACCACAGTGGGTCATCTGGTCCAGCCTCCCTGCTCAAGCCGGGTCATCCCAGAGCACATGGCACAGGATTGTGTCCAGATGGTTCTGGAATATCTCCAGTGAGGGAGACTCCACACCCTTTCTGGGTAACCTGTTTCAGTGCTTGGTCACTGCACAAGAAAGTTCTTCCTCACATTCAGGTGGAACTTCCTGAGCATCAGTTTGTGCCCATTGTCTCTTGTCCTGTTACTTGGCATCACCACGAAGAGCCTGGTCTATCCTCCTAGCACCCTCCCTTTAGGTATTTATACACACTGAGGAGGTCCCCTCTCAGCCGTCTCTGCTCGAGGCTGAACAGGCCCAGCTCCCTCAGCCTTTATTTGTAAGGGAGATGCTCCAGTCCCTTCATCATTCTCAAGCGTCGCTCTGAACGGCCACTCCCGGCGCTCCACGTCTGAGGAGCTCCCAGAACTGCTCTCCGCGGATCAGATGCACTCCAGCGCTGAGGCAGACGTCAGCGATGACTTTACGCGGCGGGAACTGTTCTATTCTGCATGCAGGGTTCCATGCCGCAGGCTCTCCTTTCTCCTTCTCCTCCTCCTGCGTGCGGGCGGGAGGAGGGGCGAGCGCCCGGTCCCGCCGCGCAGCTCCGGCGGCGGCGGCGATCCGGAAGCGGCCGGCCCGGCACAGCCGGCTCGCGGACGCGGGGATCAGCGAGGCTGGCGGTGCCGGGATGCAGCATGCGGGGGGTAGGTGCGGCGGGCGGGGGCGGCCGTGCACCTGCCCGTGCCGCGGGCGGGGGGGAGGCGGGGGGGCTCGGGCCGCGGGGCTGCGCTCGGGAGCGCGGACCGGGCGGGGGTGCCGGGAGCGCTCGGGGACGGCGCGGGGTGTCGGGGGAGCGCTCGGGGCATCCCGGGCGGGGTGCCGACTCGGCTCTCCGCCGCCCTGCGCTGCGAGAGGCTTGCCGCTGGGCTGGGGCTCGGTCTCCCGCTCTTTGGGTCTGGCGCTGTCCTTGGCCCCCGGGGCGGCTCCGGGGGCGGTCGGTCCTGCGGGTCCCGGGGCCCCGACCCACGATGTGCTCACCGGGGCTGTGCCCCTCTGTGGCTAAGCCAGGATGAACTGGGTTTTTTTTGTGTCTTAAATAGAATGAACATGGCCATTTAATGCCCCGGAGCGGTGGGTTTGGCAGGCTGTGGCTCAGGTGCGGAGCCGCCTGGCGTTAAACGCGACGTGCATTTGACCTGCGTGTGTGCGAAGGCGTTTTGAGCCCTTGAGGACACCCCGAGGAGGGTTTGGTTACCCGCTGTTGGCAGACACTGAATTAATCTCTGCCCTCTGGGGAGCTGTGCGTGGCCAGGCACGACCTGCCTTCCCTCTGCCTCTCCAGCACAGCTGATCCCGGGTTTACCCTGTTTGCAGAGGGAAAGGCCGGTCACCGATGACTCTTTTCCCGAAGCAGGGAGGAATGTTTCAGCCAGTGGGAAGCCTGAAGGAGCAATACCAATTTTGGAAGGTAAATATGGTTTCAAACTAAGTACTGGAATATCGCTTTATAGGTTGCAGTACAGCAAGGAGGAAGTGAAGTGTTTGTTTGGCTGTCGGCTGAAATAGTTGCAGAAAATGAAAGAACCTAAAGCCAGTTTCAGTGATTAAATTCGATATTGTCCTTCAGCTTCATTAGTAAACCAGAAATACAAATGATGTATTGGCAAACTAACAGTTATGTGTTGTACCCTATTAATGCAATTTCTGAAGTATAGCTTGGCTTTTAAAATTTAGCTTAATCTACGGCAGGATGTGATCTTTATAACCTGTTTTCACAAGTTTTATTGCCACAAATTGCTTTTGTGGAGGACGTTCTATTTGTTTATTAAAAAGCACATGAACGTCAGAGGAACTTACGGATCCGTGGAGGCAGAGATAAGTTGTTGACAAGTAATTGAGAACTCAGCTGTTCCTCCCTGCAGTACATAAAATGAAATCAACCTCTGTCAAATAGAGTTCGAGTGCAGTCCTCTCTGTGCTGCTTATAGTCCAGTCATCTTTGCTGGGAAGTGACTGGGATCCGGGTGATGGGATTTACTGCTGGGAGGTGGTGCGAGTACCATCTGTGCAGCAGGTGCACAGATGTGCAGCCTTGTGTGACCACTTAGTACTGAAACCTTTTGTAAGATCTGCGAAGCCTTTTCCTGCTTAGGCTAAAGCTGCTAAATAGTAGCTTGTTAAATAATTGCTTTGCTATGATGATAATTGCCTTGTCCCATTATATTTTAAAAGAACCATTTAAGGAGATGTTTGACCTCGGGTTTTTGTTCTCAGCTGGCTTCTCATTTTTTTTCCCAGTAGATATTTCTGTCACCTTGCTTAGTGTGGTCAGTTAAATAATAATTTTGGTGTCTGGGGATAACTGTGAGAGAGAAGTGGGGTTTGGGATCACCCTGAAATAGGTTTGTTGCTGCTGGAAGAAAAATTCCCTCCAGCTGGGGGCTGCTTGTGCCAACCTATTTTTCTTCTTACCTTTCTTCTGCTACTGGGGCTATCAACCAAACACAGATTACTGACAAGTTGTTGTTTTGAAATTGAGTTCCCCCCGACCTAACTAGCCAGCTGTGGTTGGAAGGGGCAATCCCACCTTCAGTCCCTGCCTTTATGCTCCCGCTGCGTTGGATTAATCCTAAGTAGCAGTTTTATGACTACAGAATGAATTAATATTCTCTGTTGGATCAGCTGCATTTCAGGGCAGGTTTTCTGATGAATCAGCCACCTGAACCGTGGCTGTACAACTGCAAGGTCTGACACAGAGGGAATCAGGGACCTGCATCTGGGAGTGGAAGAGGGGAGGAGGGTGTAGGGTTGCACTTTCCCTAACCTCTGCAATCTCAAAGAGGAGGTAGGAAACCCATGTTGGGTGGGAATGATTACGGGGTTTAATTAATTGCACAACTGATTCAGAGCTGGGGAGGTGTGGGGGGATGAAACATGCCAAACGAGATTAGCAAGTCAGCTCACTTCGAGGGGAGGGAGGTGTCAAACTGAACCAGGATACTGGAGAAAATAAAGCTATGGCAAAAATGTGTTAGCATAGAGAAGCAGACTCCTAATTTTCTGTTGGGGTAGTCTGTTTGGAAAGAGGTGGGTTTTCCTCCATTCCTGGGGAGAAAGTCAATGTGGGTAGTGAAGCTCTCAAGTTGCTGGCTTGGACACAGCAGATCCTGTTTGGTGTTGGCATTCATCTGGTTGAAGGATGTTTTGATTTCTGTGATAAGATGGGGCAATGAAGATGATCTCATGTTAAGACCAACCCTTGGTCTTGGGCAGGTCTGTTTACTTGCTTGGCAGGTGTATTTTCTTTTGTTTACCAGGAGAGCTGATCCTGTATCCTACCAACTTCCCATCAGTGGCTTTTGCTGTCATTAGCCCCACTAGCAGGGCTACCAGGAGGGTGGTAGGGGTTATGCTGCAGGCCCTGGTGTCTTAACTTGACATCCTGCTGGGGTGGCTCTGCTGTGAGCACACAGGGAGGGTTTTCATGCGTGAGTTGCAGTCACACCTTTTGCCTACAGTGCCTTTTGTCATCGCCCTCAACAGTTGGCTGACTTGCTGCCGACTAACAGTGCAGCTGCTCTCAGGTGCAGTACCTGCAGTAAAGATATTGTGCATTTTTTTTTGTTTTGTTGAGGGACTTCAGCCCATGTTTGAACAAACAGGAGAAACTCTGAGACTTTAAACCAAACTAAATTGATGCTGCCAGAGTCTCTCTCTCCCCTTCCTGTTATGGACACGTGAGATCCTGCCTTCTCCCCTTGTGCTGGTGCAGGGAGCTCAGGTGGTGAAAAAAGTTGTTTATTTTCTTTTCCAAGTTCTCTGAGGATGCGGTGCTTTGTGCAGCACTGCCACTGGGACAGGGAAATGGGGTGGAAAAGGGAGTGCTAGTCCAGTCTTGCTGGCAGCATTGTTCAGCAGCACCCACTCTCAAGCTGGAGGAGTCTCTATTCGGAGCTGGAAACACTACAGCCATTTTTGAACTAATTGCAAGCTCATGAATGTTTCTGATGTGCTTAAACAGATCTTTGTGGGCTGGGGAATTGTCTGCTTGTAGCCATTCTGGGACAAAAGCAAAGTGTTTTTTGATGTCAGCTGGCTTTGGATCAAGTTCTGCGTGCATCTTCCCTTTGTGTCTCCGCTGCTTTGTACTATGCCGAGTTCTCAAAATGCATTAATAGGGATAAAATTCAGAAAAGGCTGCATTTATTTTTATATCAGCTTAAAATTCTCCATTACATTTTTGATGGCTGGAAGGTTAGTTATGGTAATTACTTGCCTCTGAAGTAGATAATTGCTGATTCAAATGTTATGCTTAGAAAATACGACAAATCCTCCATCAGACTGTTTACTTATCGGCTTCTCTTATCTGAAGATCAGCAGTTAACAAAGGCAGAGTGAAGGATTTGCCACGTCGAGACTGAAGGTGTAAGACTAAAAACCTACAGGGAGATCAGCTCAGCAGCAGATATTCCACATTTTTTACCTGCCATCCCACGGCTTCGAGGGGGTCTTCGTTACACATTCAGAAGAACAGAAAACACTGTCACAAGTACATAATTGTGTCACCTAAAATTTGGTGCCAGCCGTAGTGTAGATGGCTCAGCTTCCTCCTGGGATTCGTTTCATCACTTCATTTTCACGAGATCAGTGGTAAGTCCTGAAGTATGGTGGTGATCTTTGTGGACAGTGTGAATTTGTATCCGGGAAGATCACGCCGCTCTATTTTTGCTTTTTCATTGCTTAATATATACAGGAAGAAAATATAGCCAGTTGTATAATAAATATTGATGACATTTAAAAAGTAAGGTGCTTTGTTGGGAAACCCAAATAAACCCTTACTAGCCTTTTGTCCTTTTAAAATTATATTTAAGTGATAAATTTCAGATTTTTATTTTCAAGCTCTTAGGTAGGAAGAGTGGCTCAAGGTAAGCTTTCTTTTCTTAACCAGAAGTGTATTTTCTCCCCAATAATTTGATGTTTAATATAGACTTGTACAATTACAGTTTCAGTTCTTGCTACTGTAATATTAAAAAAAAGCAAACCCAAAAATAAAACAAACAAACAAAACAAAAAAACCCCACCAGACCAAACAAAACCCCCCAAACCAAACAAAAACCCCAAACAAACAACAACAACGAAACACAAAAAAACCAAAACCAACACAAAACCCCCCAACAAAACCGAACCAAAATCAAATCCTCTTTGCTCAAGAAAACTAATTCTGGAAGTTTTGTGACATCAGTTCATGTCCTTTCTGAGATAGAAGACTGAGTCAGTTGTGTGTGGAAAAAAAAATAACAAATGAAAGACCAAGCACTTGCCATTTGAGCAGTTTTATCATGTGTTTAGTATAGCAGCAGGAACAAAGTAATTTCAGTTTTATTCCTTGTGAGGAATAAATATGTGTTTTCAGTGAAAACTGTGTTTTCAGTTGTGAGAGTGAGTAATTCAGCTTGTGGGATAACTCTTCTAGTGTCTCTGTCAATATACCAGAACTATAAAACAAGGCCTGGATTATAGAAAAGTTTGTAAGGCAAAAAATTATTAAAAAACGTTACTTAAAAATCAGGGACCATAGTAGTCTGTATGACATCGGATATTTGTATTTATATATGTACTTTTATTTCCTGATGTTGATTTTAAGATCAAGGCCAGAAGGAACCAGCAAATACACTTGGACTCTGTGTATTGTTAAAAGCACAATTCCACAAAGTGCTCTCCTTAAACAACTGAAACTGCAGGTAGAGCAGAGAATAGATCAGCTTATTGTCTTTGTGTAATGCTTGCAGTGACAGGGATTTTGGGATGCACTTTTAATTCAGCTGAACTGCAGAGAAAGACCTGAGGATGCCAGTGAGGCACAAAGGAGAATTCCTTCCCAATCCCAAACCTGCTTAATTATGTTCATGTGTTCCAGGATGCTCTATCTGTCCATCTCTGGAAACAGCTGATTTCTGTTGTTACAGAGGAGGGCAAAAGTAAAGCAGAATCCTAAAAGCAGTAAGAAAACAAGGAAGTAATAACCCACAACATCCAAACTGCCAACTCAGAGAGCCATCACTTATGTCCTGATCATACCAGAAAACCCAGTGAGATAGTGAGGTGTGAAATCTGATTATCAGTATGTTTAATGTTGAACTGACATTTAATAGCCCCCAAAGGAAGGTTGCAAACAAGGCAGATGTTTTTGTGTAACTTGGTGCTAAAAGGAGATCTAAATAAAATAATTTTCAAACACTTTTTATTTTATATTGTAGGTATAGAGCCTTCATTTTCTCTCTCACTTTCCTGCTGTATGCCAGCTTCCACTTATCAAGGAAACCTATTAGTATAGTTAAGGTAAGCAGGGTTCTGTCCTTGTTTAAACATCCTTCTGCTCCTCAAACACAGAAGTCATTGTCTTTTTAGTATTTCCCATTGTGAAAGGCAGTGTTAAACTTTAACTTGAAGTGGCTTCAATATGAAAAACTGATAAAGCCAGTACACAGTGACATTTGCTTGATAAACTTCAGTGAGACCACACCTAGAATACTGCATGTATGTCTGGTTTTTGGGCTTAGAACTTGACACAGCTATGCCTACACTTAATTCATGTGTCTTAATCTAATTATAGGTATTTGAGAGGTTTGCAGTGATATTTTTGAGAAAAGTTGCTCATAACTGATGAGTTGAGCATGATAACATTGCCTTGGCATTTACAAGAGTGTTCCAAGTACTGTTGATCATCATAGTTGTCTGTACACTTGGGACTCTGTTTCTGGTAAAGCTGGTGGCAAAATATTCCATAATTCAAGGTTTGTTAGTTTAATGTTCAGCCTGTAAAACTTGCCAAACTCAAATCAAATCCCCCAGTGCTGTCTTGTATATAAATGGTAACAATGGGCAAAGTACCTGATGTTACTGCAGAATTTCAAAGCTGTTCACTGTCAGAAACACCAGTTCACTGGTTCACTATAGAATGTTTTTTCTAACCATGTGATTAACTATTTCATGTAGTGGTGGCTTCACTCATCAAAATGCCAAGCAATTAATAATGGCTAACAATGTTCCTGATTTTGGTGGGTTTGACACAGGTTCGCGTCGGTCTGGATTTGTTAAGTTTGTTGTTGTATGGGAATTAACAGTCCCCAGCTCACAAGTGAGTTTTTTTTCCATTTTCAAATGTCCTTTCCATTCCAGGGAGAGCTGCATAAGCATTGTGCTGCTTCACATGAAGTTGAGCTTGACTCCTACAAAGAATATGCTGCCCAGATTCAGCCTCTCAAAAAGCCATTTAACGCCTCTCAGTGTGGTTGGGAGCCATTTGGTAAGGGTTGGGTTTTTTTTTTTTGGTTTTCCGTTTTTCCCAGTAATGAGCTCATATTCATAATTAGATTATTTGCTTCTTGCTGTTTCTTCACATATGGAGGTACTGGGGAGATGTGCATGGAAGGGGTGTTCTGTTTTCCACGCTCTAATTGGTTTCTCCAAAGAAAGTTAAGTTGTGACCTACCTTATGATGTCTCTCCTGCTCAAAGTCACTTAAACAGGTGACATTATTTTACTTGTTACAGCTACGAGATGGTGTCAGTAGAGCAGTTTTCAGTCAGAAAATGGGATTTGTCTTTAGTGTGTCTATTAAGGAAAAAAGGGTGAAAAAATAAATCATTATAATTTTCTACTCATTTAATTCAAGGTCCAGCAACCCTTTAAATTAATTGACTTGGTGTTTATCGAAATCAGAACTTTTCAGAGTCCTTATCTGCTGGAAGAAATATCTTTCTCTCCATTTTAATGAAGAAAAAGAGGAGACTTCATTGCAGAATAGACTTGACAATTTACTGAATAGTTTATGGACGTGGCCTTTCACTTAAATAGAAAACTAATATTTGCCTACTGAACAATTACATTTGAATTTAATTGTATTTGAATTTCAGGGAAACTTTGAACCATTCCTTGATGCTTTTAATTACTATCAGGAACATCAGTGAAGTAGAATAGTCCATTCTGTCAGTGTGCCAGTGCACCTCAGTCAGTGTAGCCATCCATTCTAATTAGTCCTTAATTAGCAATTAAAAAAAAAAAGGTGCTACTCTGTTCAAAGATAATTAAAGATCTGAGCTCTGGGTTTTCTGTGGACAAAATCCAGTGTACTAGCTGCCTGTTGCAAGGTCTGCTGAAATGATTTAGTCCCACTGGATGGGATGTAGTTAAACTTGGTTGGTGTTTCTTGTCCCTGGACCGAGGGGAGGCTGAGTTTGCTTGTCTGAAACACTGGTTGGCTTTGCTTGTGGAGACTTCTGAGCTCCAGTGTCCTCCTTTTTCATGAACACATGGGTTACTACCAAGCTGCCCCTTTGGGATGGTACTCTAGACTTGGGTTTTTGGCTGTTTTTTTCAGGCAGTACAGCTGGGAAAGCTGGGAGTGACACTGAAAGAAGTAATGCTTCAGTATCCGTGACTTCATGCTCAAAGTCAGTGGCAGTTGTGGCTCCTTGCAAATAAATACACAAACTGTCTTTCTTGGTATGAGCTCAGGTCTCCTGAGAGTAGACTTGGCATTTCCATCTGGGTGGAGGCCCTTCTGCTCCCTCCCTCCTGTCTGCAAGTCCCATTTTGGTGTGATTATGCTTGTTTGCTCTACAGAGCAGAACCCTGTTCGTTGGGGTTTTTTTAAGCAAAACTCTGTGCTCTGTGAATAGATGGAAAATGAAATGCAAAAGGCTTTAACAATTAAAAAAAAAGCATATTAAACTGATTCTTTAAAAACCTCTGTGATGATGGAATTTTTTTAGCCATTTTGACTGTTAGTATCTCACACATTTGCAACTCATCTTCCCACTTTTAATCAAGTCACAGTTGGGATTTTCTTTTGTTGAAGGACATACAAGGGCACCTTATTAATAGCTGGTGTTTCTTCTCTTCCAAAATGCTGTTTTGAATAAGGTGGAGTTAAGCATGGGCCTACCAATATTTTTGTTATATGTTACAGCCATTTATTTTTATGTTTTCATTAAATAAAACGTTTTGCAAAACATGTACTTAAGTGTAAAAGCGCCTGTTGAAAGTTAAATGCCAGTGCATGTTCACTAACATTTTGCTTCTTATATGTAAAAATGGTTGGGAATTAATTAGTACATTTAAACTGATAATTTGTTTTGAAAATTATTCTTAGATAAGAACAACTACAAACAGTTACTGGGAGCGCTGGATTACTCGTTTTTGTGTGCATATGCAGTTGGAATGTATTTAAGGTAAATACACTCTCTTGGAAACCTGCTTTATTGCTTACTGTTAATTTATGAGGCTGCACAACTTCTGAGATATTGTGATTCCTTATGGGAAAGGTTTCTGGTGAAGAGAGTGAGAAACAGGTTGCTGAGGGGGAACAAAACCCACATCATCCCAAGTCCCAGTGGTATCATATCTGTTGATCTATAGAAAGCTGCTTCTTACTTGCATCCATCATGACTGCCTTGTGCAGGAATGCTTTCCAACTTGGCCTGTCTGTGCTTCTTGTGGAGCACAAAGGAATATACACTGGAATATATGTCCTCAATCAGTCTCCAACCTGTAAACTAAACTGGTTGTCCTGGCTTTCTCTAGAGTGAGAGGATGGAAGCAGACACCTCCTAAAAATAATACCAAATCTTACAGTGTGCAATATTAGCTGCTGTTTGGAGATGTTTCTTTTTATTAAAACCAGAACCCTCATGACTAGAATTATTAGCAAGGGAGACAAGTCTCACTTTAAAAGGCTGGAGACATGTCCCACCTTACCTGTCATTTGGAAAATGACTCTGTAAGTAAATGTGCTCTAGGTGAGTATCTGCCTGAAAGATGGTGGTGCAGGTGTCAGAACTTAGCAATTAATTAACATGGAATGTTTGTTGGGGTTTTTCCCCCGTCAAGTGCTAAAAATTGCTCCTTTGCTGCTGTGAAGGCAAACAGCACTTACCAGTAAAGTTTCTCCTCAGTCAGAATTAAACAACATAAAATATTCTTTGTTTGTGAAGGCTGGGGGTATGATCTCATTTTTAATTATGTCCTTTCTCTTTATTTCCTTCCCCATTCCAAGTGGACTGATAGGAGAACGGCTGCCGATCCGGTACTATCTGACGGGCGGGATGCTCGCCAGTGGGCTCTTCACTGCCATGTTTGGATTGGGTTATTTCTATAACATACATAATCTGTGGTTTTACATCATGGCCCAGGTAGGCACGAGGTTATTTAAGCACTCCAGAGTTTCTGTGGTGCTGTTCAGTGTTGTGTTGGGTGTTTCTCAGCCACACGCAGTGATTAGTGGTTGGATGGGAGGGTGTGGATGTTGGAACACACTGTCAGTGATGACAGGCAGAACTGACAGAGTGGATAGCCCCAGGTTTTATTTTTGAAAAGTGTTTTTCTAGCGAAAGAAATCTTTGAAAACAAATTAGTGTGTTTCACCCTGTGTCAAATCAATGATCAAATCTTTGCAAGCTTAAATGTGGGCGAGTTTTAAAACAAGCCTATTTACTTTTGTCAGTCTGCCAAGACCTGAGTGACTCATCCTGGCCTTCTCTGCGGGAAAAATACATTTATACTGCTAATGATGAACAGTCTCCCACACTGGTGTGGCTTATGTAATGAGATTCATTGTGTGAGATTTTTTCAGAGCACTAATCAGGTGTCACAAGAATATTTGCTGTTGACCTGAAATGCACTTTAGGTCAGGAGCAGGACATGGTCAGCACTTGAGCTGTTTTGGGCAGGTCTGCACCTTGGCACTGCTGCTTCCTGTGTGTTATTGCAGTAGGATTCTCTCCTCTGGCACCTTTGCATGGCACTGAGCAGCATGGCATGCACAGGTACTAACTTGGGCACAGCAAGCTTGTGTAACCATGTCACCAATTAATCTGTTTAACCCTGTCCCTGCCCCAGCCTTCTTGGATCAGGTGGTTTCCAGGGCACGAGCTGGCTCCTTTAGGGTTAAGCTGACTGTCTCTAGCAATGATGCCCTGTGGGATGTGGTCAGTGAGTCCTGGAGTACCAAGGGTGGTCTGGCACCACCAGCCTACTTGTTTTTTGTGGGGTAGAGTGAGGTGATTTTGTTGCATGTTCAGATGCCCACTGTACAGTTACTGTACTGTGACCTTTGCATTAAGATGTAATTCTAGAGTAGGGTTAGAGATAGTTAAAGTTATAATCTTTGCAATGTGGAGGCTGAACTAGTTCCTACTTCAGCCTGAAATAGTAAGCTAAATTCCTCCTCTCAGTTTATTTACAGGTGTCTGTTAAGCATTTTAAAGTGAATGTTCAAAGTTAGCCAGTCTCCCCTAAAGCTTTCTTTGTTTTTCCACTTTGTTTGATTGCAAACACACTTTGCCATATGCTCAGATTGAGATAAGCATTAGAGGTGGACTCAGTGATCCTTGTGGGTCCCTTCCAACTCAGAATATTCTGTGAAGTTTTCTGTGTTGCTCTTTGAGTGTGGAGAATTCACTTCTCAGTGCAGTGTGAGTTTTGGTGAGCATTGTGATTGAATGACAACAGTCTGTGATTTAAATCATAAAATAATTGTGAGGATGTAGGTACAGGGAAGAATCTCTGCAAAACATTGTAACTTGATTATTCTTGGGGAAAAAATATCACTTTCAAACCTCCCCGCTAAATTTCTAAATTCAGAGCATTTGTGAGGGCTTCCTTTTCCCACTGCAGCACTCGGCAGGGATTGTGTAGGAGCCTGACTTATTATAGGGTATGTTTATTTATTATAATTTTTATATACTTTCAGATAGCAAATGGGTTGGTGCAAACTACTGGCTGGCCGAGTGTCGTTACATGTATTGGCAACTGGTTTGGAAAAGGAAGGTAAATCATATGTTATCCAGACTTTTGGAAGTACAGATCAATACATTCTGGGCTGCAATACAGCCAATTTAAATATCTTTTTCTGCTTCTGTGTTTTTGGGGGATGAAAAAGCAGCTAAGTAGAACTTGCTTCCTTTGTTACACTAATTAGTTTGTATATGGGTTTGAAATGTTCTCCCTCATGTCAAACCAATGTTCTCTGGTAGCTCTTTAGTCTGACACCTAGTTTTTCAGATGAAATATTTCAGAATTGAATTAGAATAATCATTGCAAATATTAACAGTCTAAAACTACTTTCAGTGCAGGCTGTTATTATGCCATTTTAAATGTGGAATTTCCCATGTTTTCATTTGTGTTTCAAAACAGTTGTCAGGGTGTAACTGTAAAAAGTATCTGTCCAATATCCTTTTTTCTAACACACTTACATAAACTTAAAAATTCAATTTAAAAAGGAAAATACGTATGGCAGCTGATTTAACCTTTCTTTTTGTCACTTTTCTTTAAATCGTCTATTTGGGTTTTTTATCTTAATCCTGCACAGAGGTCACTTCTAATGTTTATTTTGTCATACCACCATACAGTAGTTTTCCATAAATTTTGCAAGAGCTGCATGGTAAATCCACTGGCTCTGATAATGGTTGGTGGATGTAGCACATAATAATGCTACTGCAGTACCATCCTTTGTAGATAAATACCATAAAAGAGCATTATGGTCTGTCAGTTCCAGAGAAGGATATACAACAGTTAAATATATGCTTTCTATATAAAATCACAGCATAGTTGTGAAAATGTAGGTTCAGGTGGTTTTCTGTAGTCCCTGCAGCCTTTTAGGTGAATGTTACAGAATGCAGAGAATAAATGTCATACAGTACTGAACAAAATTGGTGAGTCTGCAAAATAAATACATTTATTCAGGCTTTCCTTTGCACAAAAGCAGCAGCCTTTACTTTAAGGAGGCCACAGAGTGGACTGGTGGGTAGGGCTCTTGTTTGAATGTCAGTGTTCTGGTTCTTGTTCTCATTTTTCCACAAATTCCATGAAAATGTGGGCAGACCTGTTAGATCTTTAGCCCAAGGAAAAGACTGGGCCTTGTTCAAGTTAGGTTGCTCCACATAAACTGCTGAGGACAAGGCAGTTTTCCCATGTGGAATAACAAGGAAGGGAAAAAAAAACACCCTGCTGTCATGACTTCAGTAGGATTTTTGTGGTTTACATTAGCTGAGCTGGAGCTAATCTGGGATTTCCAGGCAGACAGCAGCCTGATGTGTGTGTGTTAGCCAAGCTTGCACAGGTGTCATCTTCTGCTAGTGCCCAACAAGTCCAGAATGTGACCAGAAAATACTGAATTTGCTCCACATATCCTGTACAGGTTGTTTTCTTCTGCATGATAAGTCTACCATGTCCTGAAAGCATCAGATTATCAGGGCAATGTGTTTGCAGGAGGATTTTCATTCCCAAAAGCATCAGACTTCATGTCCACATGCTACACAACATCTGCATACTTGTTTAAATCAAAAAAACTCTGTCTAGAAACATGCAAGCCCTAATGGTGTCTTTAAATGCCATTAAATGCAGGATGAGTTCTGCAATGCACAGAGAAGTATTTTACAACACTTTTATTAATATTTAGGTGCCTTGAAATTGCCAGATGGAGACTGTAGCATAGAGAAACGATCAGTTAAAGAACCATAAGACTGCAAATATTGAAATATTTCAGTAACAGCACAGATGAACAGCTATTTTTGATAAACTTCTCTCAATCCAGTAATGCTTGTAATAATAAAAGTTTGTGGGTTGTTGTTTGGTTTTGGTTTTGTTTTTTTTTTAATGCAGGAGAGGTTTGATCATGGGAATCTGGAATTCACACACTTCAGTGGGAAATATCTTGGGATCCTTAATTGCTGCTTACTGGGTGTCCACGTGCTGGGGTCTCTCCTTCGTGGTGCCCGGAGTCATCGTCGCTGTGATGGGGATTGTTTGCTTCCTGTTTCTCATTGAACGTGAGTGCTTCAGAGGGACAGAACCATGGGGGGCTCTCATTATGGGTGAGGAACACCAGCTGCTTAAGAATAATATAGGTTGGAAAAGACCACTAAGATCAAGTCCAGCTTTTGATCAATCACCACCTTGTTAGCTGGACCAGAGCACTGAGTGGCATGTCCAGTTGTTCCTTGAATATCTCCGGGGATGGGGACTCCACCACCTCCATGGGCAGCCCCTTCTGATGCCTGACAACCCTTTCCATGAAGAAATTCTTCCTGATGTCCAACCTGAACCTCCCCTGGCACAGCTTGAGGCCGTTTCCTCTCATCCTGTCCCTTGTTCCCTGGGAGCAAAGCCTGACCCCCTCCCTGGTTCCACCCTCCTGTCAGGAGGTTGCAGAGAGCAAGAGGGTCCCCCTTGAGCCTCCTTTTCTCCAAGCTGAGCTCCCCCACCTCCCTCAGCTGCTCCTCATGGCTTCTTCTCCAGACCCTTCCCCAGCTCTGTTGCCCAGAATGACTCCAGTACACTTCAGAATTGAGTCCACCACCCTGTTATTAGTTCCCAGTCCTGATAAGTTGTTCAAGTGTATCTTAGCAGAACGTCCCACCTGGCTGCAGTGTATGTTCTGTGCTACCATTCAACCCATGCCATCCATCTTCTGTGCTGTGAAATACAGAAGTCAACTGGTAGAGCAGGTTGTGACACTTTAAATTAGAAGTTAAAGAAGAATGCCCCATCTTGTCCCTATGAAGACTCAGAGATATGAATGCTTATTTTATACTATAACTGTCCCATCTCAGCAAGTAGAGAGTTCTGCAGAGATAACTAGAATTCTTGTAAAGAGCAGGACTGCCAAAATAGCCCTTGTTGTTTGTACTGTTGCTTTGTTGTCAGTAAATAACACTGTTTGAAAGTGTTTTAAGAGGCTTCTTTTCACTGTTAACTATATGTGGTGTTGTATTTCAGATCCTAAGGATGTAAGTTGCTCCTGCACACCATCCAGTGTAAGTGAATGCTTTTTCTGTTTTGATTTTTGCCTCCTAATACACGTTTATTAGGGTAGTTCTGGAAATCAGTCTGTATGGCTCTTTCGTGCCAGGCTGTTATAACTGATCCTGTTCTTGAGGGAATGATTTGTCTGTGCTTCACTGATAAACCAGGACCTTATTTTCTCTCAAAGCAAATGAATCAAGAGGTGAATTAATTTGTTTTAAATAAAGTTTTGGAATAGATGATCTTATGATAGTAAAACAGGAAAAAGTGTCCATCTCTTTTTTTTTTTTTCTTGAGTTTCCTTTCTTTCCTCTGGTCTTCATGGGCATTTTCATGGCATTTTGTTCCATCTCCTGCTGTTGCCTCCCTTGCTTAGGTATGGCATAGTGAGATTGCTGCCAGCTGTATCCTGGGAAGGGTCTCACTGGGAACCCTGTATGAGGCTTTGCAGAAAGAGCAAACAGCCCTTCTGCTGACACAGGGTCAAGGAAGCATGTGTCTGTGGGCTTGGGATGGGTGGTGGGATGTTCCCTTGGATAGAGGAAGGGACAGTAGGAGCACATGGGTAGGGAAAAGCAAGGGATGGATATAAAGCTGAATTGAAGAGATTGGAGCAGTCATTCAGTTTGTGACAGTGAGTTTAGCCGTGATATAATGTGGCATTTATTTGTCTAAAACTCAAATTAATGAAGAAATGTGAAAAGGAGAGAGAAAAAAAATCTGTGCTAAGTTGTATGAATCATATGACAGATGGATGCTTTAGTTTTTGTGGCATCCCAGAATAATTTAGATTGAATCAGGACCTCTGAACATTGTAGAAGCCTACAAGAAGGATGGAAGAGAGAATATTTACAAGAGCATGTAGGAACAGAACAAGGAGGAATGGTTTTAAACTGGAAGAGAGCAGATTTAGATTAGATATTGGGAAGAAATTCTTCCCTGTGAGAGTTGTGAGACCCTGGCACAGGTTGCCTAGAGAAGTTGTGGATGCCCCATCCCTGAAAGTGTTCAAGGCCAAGTTGGATGGACCTCTGAGCAACCTGGGATAGTGGAAGGTGTCTTTGCCCATGGCAGGGGTTTGGAACTGGATGATCTTTGTTCCCTTCCAACCCAGACCATTCTGGGATTCTGTGGTTCTATCCTCTGCTCACAGCAGGTCTAAATTTGACATAGGATCAAATTGCTTAGGGCTGGCCTGCTAAAATTTGAAATCCTTGAGGATGGAGAAGCTGTTTATACGTCAATGTTTGGGAGGTTTTAGAATGCATTGATCCCATGCTTCACTGGCATCAAGTGCATCTTGCATGAGAGCTTATACTTCAAGGGAAGATGTGACTCTCCTGGCACGGTGGTTTGAAAGTCCACATCAGAGATTGACCTCTTAAGACGTTGTTGAAGCAGGATTGAAATGTGTGTGTGCAAATGTCTTAAGCTTTTTTTGGGTTGCTGAACGTTGTATGTATGTTTTTGTGTGCCATTGTGGCAGCAAAACTCATAACTATTTAAATTGTTTCTAAAAGGAAAGCTTTCTCTTCCAAGTACCTACTATAAGATGGTTCCAACACTAGAAGTAGGTTGTAAGTGGTTAAGCTCTGTTACCAAGATATTTGCTCAGTGCTTTTGAAACAAAAGTTCACAGGATGTTTTATGTGCTCAAAATTAAGTATTGTAGGAAGTCGTGTCAATGGCAGAAAGATGTGCCTTGGAAATATTTAATTAAAATGAGAAGATGATTGTTTCCTTTCTTGCCTCACGTAGCTGTGACCCAAGAAGAGGGAGGCAGTCGAAATAGAATGAGAGAAAAATAAAAAGCAAGGAAAGGGAACAGAAAAGAGAGCATTGGGAAGACCAGCTGTGCATAACTTCTCATAACAGAATATCTTTCATAGCCAGGTTTTGTTTAGGAGTGTATTTAGAGGTTCATCTTGTTTCATGTTCCCTAAGGCTCTGGTATGTGTTTGTCTCTGCTGTAACCACAACCTAGAGCAGCTCTTGCCCCAGCCTTCTTTTCCTTTGGCTTCCAGGAACCTGTGGGCAATCTGGTCTGCCATGTTTTCACCTGTTTCTTTGGAAGAATAGTAGGGATGATTGGCAGAGAAGGTCATAGGGTTTCCCAGGTTTGAGAGCAAATCAGGGCTGTTGGGGGAAATGTCAGAGGGAAGGTCCCAAGGGAATCCCAGATGGAAATTATCTATACATGTGAACTATGCCTGTTATTTGCAAGTCTCACAAGTAGGTTGTACAGGGATGATTGCTGGTTCTTTACCACCCTCCTCCAATATTTTCAGATAGATTTTTATTTTTTTTTTACATTTTAAATGCTCTTGAATAGTAACTGAAGGTAATGTTTTTAGTCTGTTATCTCTTCTTTACCAGATAATGTTTTCTCCTCCTCATATGAACTACTCCTGATAAATCTTCTGAATACTTTCAGTGGTCTGGGGAACTCCTGTTCTTAGTTTGTTACTGTGAGATAAGGTGGGATCACAGTACGTTCTCTATTTTTCATTTAATTCTCTTTCATTTCTCAAAGGTAACTTCTGTCAAGTATGAGAGTATTTTAAGTGACTCTCATTGCCTCCTGTTAGGAGTGTCTTTTTTTTTTTCCTTAACTTTTATGGAGTTCAGGAGCACCTAGAGCCTCATGTTTACAGAATTTGCTGTTAAGCCTCGTGGAAGTAAATGTTTGTCATTTGTTTCAAATACACTTTGGCTGGAAAGCACAACTAAAGAGCTCTGCACAGTATATTGCTCATATGTCTCAAGGAGCTGGTATGGAAAATTTCGACATTGAATATCTGTTTGCAGTGATATTTCTAACAAAAAATTAGCATTTTAGGAGCTTTTGCCCCCTTCTATTCACCACCTTTTCCCTCAGTCCCAGAAAAGGACTAGCATTTGGCCTCATCTTCTTTAGGGCACCAGCAGGATCCCTGCTCCAGGAACAGTCTTGTTGCATGAGATGCATTTGACCTTCAGTTTTCCTGGAAACCTTGCCCTCCAGAGCTAAAGGCATCACTTCTTCCTTCCCTGTTCCCGTTTCCCATCTGGAAATCTTGTGGGAGGTTTATAAAAATACTTCCCCACCTGCCTTGAACCCTTTTCAGATTAAGATTCACCACTGTCTTGGGAAACTGTATCCTATTTGAACTGCTCAAATACTTCTCTTCGGACCTGTGTGGTCTGCAAGGATTCCACATCCTTAGTGAATGGATTTAAGCTCACAGCTTCTGTTCACTGCAGGAGGGTGGTTTTAGGAATTAGGGAAATTAATAAGGTCAGAGGAGAAGTTCACAATCTCCTCCAAATGCAGGTGTGCTAATGACAGTGTCTGACTGTAAAGAAAACTGATTGCTAATTGAAGGAAGGTTCATGTAGTAAAAGACTGTGTTAATACTGAGAACAGAATATTTCAACTATGTTGTACAAGGGTTGGAAGTTGTCAGGCATAAAATGCTTGCTGACCTTTTTTTGCTTGGTCATTTCAGTGTCAACCTGAACAACGTTTGTGTTTTTGCAAATGGTCAGAAATCTTTTTTTTTTCTTTTTTTTTTTTTTTTGAGACACTAAAGAAACATTCACACTTGTTCTTCTCATCAGGCTGCAGTAGGTAATTTTTGACAGATGCCTTGGTTAGGTGCAGGCAGCTCTGCTGGCTGGTGCTAAAAACCAAACCTCACTGTGGAAAAATGAGGCCAGTTAAATTTAAGCACCACTAAAATAAATGCTGAGCTTGAGGGAAGGACTTTAGTGTAGATTTATATTGAGATCCAGAGGTCAGGTTCCTCTCTGTGTGATATCACTATCCTGGATGAATTTGGTCTACTGTTTATTTGCAGCGTGATCGTGAGCCCAGTATTTCTACCGAGTTTGTAGTGGTGAGTAATCTGATTTCATTGAGTTGTCCAAAATCACAGAAGGCAAGGCAGGCACAGAGCCCTGAATGTGTGGTTCTTATTCTTTATCCACTGGTTTCCTGGGCTGTGCTTCGTTTGCTTGTATTCATCTTGGCTCTGATTTATCAATCTGAAATTTGTTTCCAAGTAAACACTTGAGTGCAATGAAGGGTTTTTAAATCCCCACACTGGAGGCTTAATCTTTGACTTTCTGAATGGCTGTAGCTGTGACAAATGAAAGTGAGAAGCCAGTGTGATTTATTCAGCATTGGTGCACTTCCATCATGAAAGTTAAAGAGGAGGTTTAACAGCATTTGGGTAATGTGGTGATTTAGAACTGGTTTTATTGCTTCTCATTTTCTCCCTGGAGTTTTTTTTCCCCCCATAGTTACATACTGTTCATTCAGACCTGTCTTAATGCTCTAGGAACTTCCTTTTTCTTGACTTTGCATTCCCAGGAAACTTAGCTCTCTTAAACTCCTGTTGCAAAGTGCTTGTGCACTTAAGAATTACCATGCTGCAATTTTTGTCTTCTGAAAAGGAGAAATAAGTCCAAGTATTAAATGTGCAGCCTCTCAGTCTAGTCCTTTTCCCCAGACATTTTCCCCTTACCACAGTAAATCTTACTTTTTGACAGTCAAATGAAAAAGCCATTCATTTTTCCTGTACTGAGCTGCTGATTAAAGATGTAGATGACTTGTCTCTAGGTAATGGGTTTTCTTCCCTGTGGATCATTGTAGATCACATTTTTGACAAGAGCCAGATTTTTCTGTAAGATAAAATTTAAAAATCTGTTTTATCAGACCCTTAGGGGCTTGAGTGTTGTTGGTTTATTTTGAGGAATTTGTGCCCAAGACTGCTGCTGCCTCAGCTCTGTACTGAGCAGCAGCAATACTTCAGTTTATCCTCAAAAGTTTTTTGCCTTCTTAGAAGGATTTGAGTGATGAATGGCAGTTTGCCTAAGGAGTACTGCATTACATATCCTTGTATTTTTGTTGGGGAAGAATAACCCAGTGATTAATTTGGAATTAGAATGTTCAGGGAGGATCTGCATTCTTTTTTCATTCATGATGGTGAGCTCAAGGGGTTGGGGTGCGTTATTTGGGGCAGAGTTTGTGGTGGGTTTTATTGTTTTATTTTGGGTTTTTTTGGTTGGTTTTTTTTTAATGTGGCATCAAGTGTGTGATTAGACACTTAAAAATCATCTCACACGTGAGGTGTGCACAATGCTTCTTTTGGTCTTAGCAATAGGTTGTCCATACCTGGCTGCAAATCTCCTTTAAAGCTGTATATTTAATTGAGCAGACAAACCTTAATGTCCCTGGTAAACCTTTTTAGGCCAAAGATCACAGAATTGTTTTCCATGAAGTGCAATTTTGTTGTGAACTGTTACACTAATTCACTTGTAGATAAATAAGTATAAAAAGCAGGTCCATCTAAGTACCTAAAATGTAGCTTTATTGCCTTGATTTTTCTGCTGGACGTGCTGGAGCTGCTCAGGCTCTTCATTAACACTCCTGTCCACAAGTCCATTTCTGGGTTAAAAGAATATAATGCTGCAGAATATAATCTATAGGGATAAACTTTAATCTTAAAGGGATAGGAAAGTGAAGAACCAAGGTTTTCCTGAAACAAATCAACTCCTGTGGTTGCTGCTGGGATCATCTGCTTATGAGAAAAAAACTGTTTGTAATGTCAGTAATTTCAGTGGAGAAAAAAGCAACCAAAGATGTTAAGAATGGCATGACTGTGCTCTGAAGTCAGGGTGCTGGCTTCTATCTAAAACCAGCATGAAATTAGCCTCCAGATAAATTTGTGATTGCATTTTGTGTACGTTGCCATAGGTCTGCTTAAGAACTTTGAGAACTCAAAATGCACAGTCATTAAATCAAAGATGTTCCATTTGGGGTTATGCTTATGTTACAATGCACAAAAACTTGTCGCAGAGAAATGGTTGACACTAATGTCATCTTTCAAAAAACAAGCAACAGAGGTATGGAGTTGTTTTGTTTTGTTTTTCAGAGTTCTAAAACCTTCCTGAATGGTACATCTCGGTGCAGAATCCAGATGCCGACCTTAAATGCTAAGGAAAATGGCAAACTTCAGGTAAAATATAACATACTGTTGTAAAATAGCGTAGAAGGCTTCCTAAGGCTCATGTGGAACATTTACAGTAGATTTACTGTTGGTGAAGATTACTCCTCCTTTTATGATGCTGAAATCTCCTTCCATCTTCATACACAAATGTAATTTCAGACGAGGGAACTAAGCATTACCTGACATAAATACTGCTCATTTCCTGACATAAATGCTGCTAACAGAGCTGAATGAGATGGCATGCTCACTCAGTTGGTCTTTTCTTGTAATCTTGACACAATTCCAGCAGTGCACTGAAAAATATTTCTGAGATAGCCCACCTGAAATATTTAAACTACATGTATCGTGTTTGTCCTGTCTTTGCAGTCTCACTTCTTTCCCTTTTGAATGCAGCAGTTTTATGTACTTCCAAGATTATGCATGGAGATGGATATTTCTGAAAATGAGCAATTATTCAGAAAAATCTTGCTTAAAACTTGCAACCTTAAGGGCTGGTAATTCTCAGCAGACACTGAATTTTGGACTTGCCGGTTGATGAGGAAAAAGATATTTTATCTTGTGATGGACATTAACTGAAAATTTCCATTTGAAATTTTGTATTTGTATTCAGTACACTTGGCACATTGTATCCTGAGAGGATAACTTTTTTTCCAACTTCTTTCAGACTTTTCCAGGAAAATAGAAACTTCCTGTTCCATTCATCCTTTGCCCATAGAATAGTAATGAGTATTCACAGGGTACAATAATCAGTGGTGGTAAAAAGGTTTTGAAATTTTTGCTGAGGCAGCACTTCACTCATCATTTTGATCAGCCCAGCTTCCACTCCCTCTGGACTGAATTCTTCATTTTCGTTTCCAGCTGCTTAAGAACAGTCTCCAGCCCAGAAACCATTTGTCAGGATTATTTCCCAACCAGCTGGAAGATAAGGGGAGAGATATAAGAATATCAACAGGTGACTGTATTTTAGCTCTGACATCATGACTTAGAATCATGGTTGAGAATGGTTTGTGTTGGAAGGGACCTTAAAGATCATCTCATTCCAACCCCCTGCCATGGGCAGGGACACCTTCCACTATCCCAGGTTGCTCAGAGCCCCTTCCAGCCTGGCCTTGGACACTTCCAAGGGTGGAGCAGCCACAGCTTCTCTGAGCAACCTCTTCTAGTGCCTCACCACTCTCACAGGGGAGAATTTCTTCTGCAAATTCCCACTTGCTGGCAGCCTTGGCAGTATTCTCCCCCCATCCTCTCTCCACGCTGCCAGCTGGGTTATACGCTTGTAATGCGGAGTCTTAACGAGGTTTAAAAAGAAATGAATCAAAGAATTAAAAATCCTTGTTTGTCACTCTTTGGGACTTCCTGATTTTTTGCCAGTGACAGAAGAACATCTTTTTCCTGTCAGAAGCAGAGCTGAACATCTTTCCTTTTCACAGTGGTTGTGTTGCAGTTGTGTGGAGCCGATTCTCACAGTCAGCTTTTGAGCCTGTGCAAACAGCAGATGTTTTGCATTTATGAGTTGGTCTCCAAGCACACTAGAATGGCAGCTTTTACTGGGTTTTTATTGACCTCTGCAATTACTGTAAAAAGAAAGCAAATACTCAGGATCTGCAGTGATTGAAAGCAGAATGTGTTTTTGGCTGCGTGGTCTGAATACCTCTGTGCATTCATTGCTGCTTATGTTAGGTTGGCCTCTTAAAAATTACACAAAATTGAGGGATAATGAATCCTTCCCCAGAGATCAAAAGTGTGCCATATGCCTAATCATGCTGTATGACAAGCTGGCAAGGCTGTACAATGTTAACTCTGCCAAGCACAAACTGCTGGTTTTATTTATCTTTAGTTATTTGCAGCATAAAAGTCCCATATTGTCGACAGAAGTTTCCAGCATGAGTTAAATAAGTTTTTTGGGACTTTAGTCACTTCTACTTCAATATTTAACCCACTCTTTCAAAATAGATGTAGAGCTACTTGTCTGAGAAATGAGCAGCATTGCCTCAGACAATGCTGGCTAAGTTTGCTGTGCAGATTGTGCACTTAGACACTTACCTGGAAGTGTCTTCCAGTGAATCCAGGGGGAGCTTCACTGCTTAAACCCTTCTTTTTCTCCTCTCTCTCTCTCTTTCTCTCTCTCATGTTTTTTAAGTGTTAATAGCTGATGGTTTGAATTGCTAAATCCAAAATTCAGTTGCTAAATTACTGCATTTAAAATAGTTCAAGTTTTGAAGTCGCTCCAGTAATTCAGAAGATAAATACTGATGATGATGATGATGGAGTGACTCGTGCCATGAACAGTTTTGCAGTGCCAAGTCAAAGCTCCCTAGATGTTTTTGCTGTCTTCCACTTAGTACTTCATCAGGGTACAGGGTATATCCTGTATCCTATCTACAAATCATGTAGAGAATTTTGGATGCTACACGGTGGCTCCTAAAATTATGCTAAGTGTCTGGGCTCAGGTGTGCAGATGGTTCCTTAGTGCCTTCTAAATGATGTTCTTTAAAAACAGAACTTATTTAGAAACACAGAGTGTAAAATAGCAGAATTGAATTTTTCCAACACTTTTTTTTTCCTCCTTTCTTCCTACATCAACTTGCCAAATGTTAACCAGAAAGTTTTAATCTTTGTAATAAATACTGGAAATCAAATGACCTGTTGTTTTATCCTTCCTAACCAACAGTGAGATATATATTTGAAGCTTAATTCTTCACTGAGACTTTATTCAAATGCTGAAGAATTAGGAGGAAGAAGACAGAATGTAGAACACATAGCTAGGAAAAGTGCACAGCCAGGTAAAGCTTCTCAGTGAGCAGGTGAAAGTGAGGATAGCTGCATCCCATCCTTTTTCTGAGTTGGAAAAGAGGTACTGAGGGCTATTTATACCTGAAATTTCTTTTTTCTGTGTACAGCTGGAAGATGTAAATTTCCAGTTCTATTCTGAGTTTGTTTCAGTGTGGTGGATGGATAAAAATAACATATACCCTCATGGCTACAGTGGGATGGCTTGTTCTTGTTGAGTGGTAACTTGCTCCACAAGTATTCTTAGCAGCCAGTGGAATTCTTGGGATAAAATTCTTTCTAGTGCTAAAAAAGGACTCAGAATTCACAACTTAGGTAATGCTGGTACATTCTAGGCTTTTATAATTTGGGAATTGCAATGCTCAAATGAAACAGAGGTGAAAAAATAAGCGATTTCTTAACATAAAACACCCAATTTCCATAATTCAATTGGAAAGATGGCTTGTATTTAAATCAGTGAATAAGATGGTGTTGCAGAGTCTGAAAAATGGGCTTAATATTTGCACAGAAAGAAGATAATATATACTTTATATGGAAATGTGTTGTAGTATTCAGTAGATTGTCAGCTTTTATTAGACCACATTTATGTAGTGGGGTAAGGGACGCCTGGAAACTGCTTTATTCCACCAAATGTACTCTAATATGTGAAATTGTTCCACAATAGAAGAAAAACATGATTCCATAATAAAGTGTATGCACTCAAACATAAACAACTAGAATTATTTCACCTGATATTCTGTATATACTCTCTTTGTATCTACTCTGCATATTGAAATCAAGGTATTTTTAAAAGCTGTAACTTTCAGTGATAAAATATATACTTGTTTTTTTAAAATTATTTTGGAATTACTTGATTTCTTTGTACACACGTTCTGATTCTTTGTTCTTTTCTCTCTCACGTGGTTGCTGGGGGAAACAGCAGGATCCAGAGATACAGCACTTACTTAGTGACAGTGAAAACAGCAGCGTGTCCCTGAACTCCAGCACTGTGGCCAGTGGGGAAGGAAGACATGGGACATCAGCAATCAGCTTCCTTGGGGCCTTGAGAATACCTGTGAGTACTTGTGCTGTTCCTCTAAGAATTAAGTTTTGCCTCAGAATTCATGTTTCTGTGAAGATCTGGATGGAGTGGTAGAGGATATATTAACTTTGCATCACAGTCTTGGAATGCTGAGGGCTCTGGGTTTGTCTGGTTTGGAGGAAAGGAGGCTGAGAGGCAAACTCATTGCTCCCTACAGCTTCCTGAGGAGGGAGGTGGACAGGGAGGTGCTGATCTCTCTCTGTTAGTGTTTGGCATTTGGACAATGCCTTTATTAATGTGCTTTAACTTCTGTCAGCCCTGAAGTGGTCAGGCAGTTGGACTTGATGGCTGCTGTAGGTCAACTGAAATAGTCTATTCTATTCTAAACTCTCTTCTAAAAGTTTACTGATCTGTCTTAATGACATGTAGGTGCTAAGGATGGAATAACAGACTGAATCTATAAGCACTTCTTGTCAGAACTGCCTTCCATGGCTTCCCTTTTTACATTCTTCAGCATTGTTTTTAAAAGCTTTAATTTTATAGTCTGTTGTAAGAGAAGTTTCAAACAGCCCGAACGTTTGGGCTGCTGGTAAAGGAAAAGAAGTTTCCTTTAGGCCAGGACTTGCATTACTTGATTGTCCTCTCAGACAGAAGCCTAAAAGCTTCAGTGGGATGCAGAAAAATTATTATTTGCAAATTAATTTGGACCATATATAAAAAGTAGGGGAGGAAATACCCAGTACTCAGCCACTCTATTCCTGGATCTTCTCATCCTTTCCAGTCTGGTCCTCAACTGTTTTTTCCTGTGGTAAAGTGGAAGTAATGGGTAGAAAGATTGCTGCTGCTGCCACCTGGAATCTCAGAGCCTCTGTGGTATTTTTACTGCCTGCTGATGGGAAGGGTCACAGCTCCATGTGGAGTGGGGCCAACTCTGTGTGTGTGCTGTTCCTGAGATTAACTGCAGCCCTCCATACCAGGGGTTTCAGAAATCTGTTTTCAAACAAGAAGTTATCAGATGGTGAGGGGAATAAAGGTAGGTTAATTTGGCAGTTTAGTTGCAGCTCTGTGCAGTAAGTACACTTTTATGTTCCCAGCAGGAAAGAGGATGGAGCGAGTCAGTGTCTAAAATATGTCATTTCCCTGTGTGCTCTTGCCACAAACTGATTTGAACTGTGTCACACTGGCTTACTGGCTTTTTACAAAGAGCTGAACAATAGGGAAGAAATCTTGTGCCCATCTGAAGGAAGGATCTAAAAAGCACAAAAAGATGCCAGTTGCTCTGGAATACACTCCAAACCCGCTATAATGCTGTATGACAACTCTTTCCACAAGGAAAATAAGTGATGTAGGTGTCCCAAACAGTATGAAATCCTTCGCCTTCATTTTAGTGTTCTCTCTTCAGGTTATTCTGTACCATTTTAGTGTTTTCAGTCAATTCAGTACAATTGAAAAAAAAAGAGAAAAAAATACAAGTAAAATACCACAGTCTGCTCTTTGTGCTCTCAGGGGAAGAATGCTTCTTGGGAATTCTCGAGAGAAAAAGAAAAGCCTAAATGCTTCTTAGAAACCATTTTCATAATGGCCTTTGAAAGTAAATAGCTCTGTCAAGATACTAACTTCCTATTTCCTTTATTCTTTCAGGGAGTTGTAGAGTTCTCCCTTTGTCTTCTGTTTGCAAAGCTAGTGAGCTACACTTTCCTCTTCTGGCTTCCCCTCTATATCACAAGTGTAGGTAAGTATCACAGTAAAGGGATACAGAATTATGACTACAAGGTGTCTGGGAGTACAAGCTTGAAATAAATAAGAAAATAAACATTACTGCTTCTGAAAGAGGCTTTGCTGCAGTAGCAAGAGTGTTGTAAGTCACCAGCTAACATATTTCTCAGGTTTATGAATTCAGTATTACAAGAGGGCATTTTCAAAAGAAACAAAAGAATCTGACATCATCAACAATTCCAGGTATAAATGCTGTGTCTTTGGCTTTTGCAAACAAATAAAAAAGGCTTATTTTCTAAAAGTGCTTTTCATTATTGGAGTGTCTTATTCAAATCTGTACAAAACAATCTAAATTAACTTATTTATCTGTTTCAGTACTGCTGTTTTGGTTTTTTATACTTAAGAGTGCTGAGAAAGGAGTTCTCCCTAACCAGAGAAATTCATGTTCTTGTGAGCCATGATGGGACCCTTAAACCCCCAGAGCAGAAAAGATGTGCTGGGCAAGTATGGCAGGAACAACCAGCAGAGAGAGGCAGGTTGAACAGCCTGTGAAAGCACAAAGTGCTGCAAATCCTGGAGCTGAAACCTCTTATGTGTGGACCAAAACCAGTGATTCTGCAGGACTGGGTACCTTGAGAGCATTGGGCTTTTAGGAGAAAGGTTAATGATGTTTGCCTTGGTACTGTTGTCCGTGTTGTGGCAGATGTTGGTGAGGTTATGGTGGTGCCCCTGACCCTTCTGCCTTAGCACATACTGCTCTGTAAATTGTATTGCAGAGGCTTCAAAAAAAAAAGGTGGATTTTAGAAATTCAGCTCCTTTGGAAACTTCACACTTAATAGGACTGGGTTGCCCAACTTCCTGATGTACTTTTGGGAATCTGGCCCTGTTAGCAAATCAATAGATACATTAGGTTAAATATAAGTATGTGCACAGTGGTCTTCAGTGCCCCTGGCAAACTGTGGAGTTGAGGAAGTCCCTGTGTCTTTGCAGTCCCCTGGAACTGCACAGTGCAAGTTGTGCCCAGCTATAATTTAGTGATGGATATTACAGGTCATATGGTGGAGGCCTCCAGGATGAGGCTCTGTAAGTGATCCAAATCTACACTAATCATGCTTTTAGAGCAAAGAGCCTCATTTGTGAGTGTTTGTTCCTGTGTATGTGGTTATTTACAAACAGGAAACTTGTTAGGCCAGACTTCAGCATGGATACAGTCCAAGCACTGTTGAGGGCCACCAACACAACTGAGCTCTTGGGTGACATCAAGATCAGAGGCAACCTGGGCTGCAGTGATGATTTACTGGTGGAGTTCACAGTCCTGAGGGATCTGAGTCAGGCAAAGAGTAAAGTCAGGGCTATGAGTTTTAGGAAAGCAAACTCCAGCTGCTCAAGGAGCTGATCAATAGAACCCCCCGGGAAACTGCCCTCAGGGACGAGCAGAACAGAGCTGGCAGATCTTGGAGAATGTTTTCCATAGAGTACAAGAGCTCCTGATCCTCAGGTGTAAGAAATCAGGAAGGGAAGGCAAGAGATGGTTGTGGCTGAGCTGAGACCTGTTGGTCAAACTACAGGACAAGGAGGAAATGCACATGTGGGCAGTGGAAGGCAGGACAGGTATCCTGAGCAGAGCATAGGCACACTGCCCAGTTTTGTAGGGATGAGGTCAGGGAGGCTGAGGTGCAGCTGGAGCTGAACTTGGCAAGGCACTCAAAGAGTAGCAAGAAGGATTTCTACAGGTATGTCACCCAAAAAAGAAAGGTCAAAGTAAGTGTACATCCCCCTTTACCCCCTACTCATGAGCAAGACTGACAAACTGGTGACAGTGGATGAGGAGAAGGCTCAGGGAGGTGCTGGTGGATGAGAGGCTGGACACGAGCCAGCCATGTGCACTGGCAGCCCAGAAACCACCTGTGTCCTGGGCTGCATCAAAACCAGTGTGGGCAGCAGGGTGAGGATCCTGCCCCTCTGCTCTCATGAGACCCCACCTGCAGAGCTGCCTCCAGCTCTGGGGTCCCCAGCTCAGGAAGGACATGGAGCTGTTGGAGCAAGTCCAGAGGAGGCACCAAGAGGGATGGAGCAGCTCTGCTGTGAAGACAGGCTGAAAGAGTTGGGGTTGTTCAGCCTGGAGAAGAGAGTGCTGCGGGGAGACCTTATTGCTGCCTTTCAGTACTTAAAGAAACACTGAATAAGTACTTCTTATAAGAAAGATGGACCAGCATTTTAGCAGGGCCTATTGCAATAGGATAAAGGGTAATGATTTTAAACTAGAAGAAGGTAGATTTGGACTAAACATGAAGAAGAAATTTTTTACAATGAGGGTGGTAAAGCACTGGAACAGGTTGTCCAGAAAGGTGGTGGATGCCCCATTCCTGGAAACATTCAAGGTCAACAAGGTCAGCATTCAAGGAACAACGTGATCCAACTGAAGATGTCCTTGCTCATTGCAGGGGTTTGGACTGGATGACCCTTAAAGGTCTGTTCTAACCCAGATCATTCTATAATTCCATGATTATAAAAGTGGTAAAATGTCTCTTGCAGTGATTGTGATTGCATTCAAAAAGCTATGTTACTGCATATCCACTTAGATATATTTCTCTTGCACAATGTCACCTTGTGGCAGCTTATTCCTGTGAATAAACAGCATTGCTGTAAGATGCCTTTGCCCTGACATGACAAGACTGTGGTGAGATTTCTGTCTTTTGTAGTCTAGAAATGACACAAATGTTTTGCTTCCCTCACTAGAGCATCTTGATGCCAAAAGAGCTGGGGACCTTTCTACACTGTTTGATGTGGGTGGAATCTTTGGTAAGTTTTAATACTCATATTTCATCCTTATTCACACCAGTTCAGGGAAAAACTCTGGTACACACAGATTACATATACTATTATATAGTCTTTGTGTTTTGTGTCCACTGAAGAAGAGTGGCAGTAAAGGTGCTGAGCTGAGAGCTCAGGGTAGGAAAATATCTTCAGAACCAATTATGTTGTCGAGTACAAATTGTAATAGTCAAATATTATGGAATAATAGCTCCATCAGCTCTGGCTCATGAGTCTGGGTCGTACCACCTATCAAAATATCTTCCTTTTGCCACTCTAACAAAACAAATTGTATATTGTGTATTTTCTGTGGGCACAGAGATGATTTGCCACAGGTGTTCTGTTTTTTTTTTTAAATTATGACTGCATGTGATAAAATTGGGAGATTATCATAATAATAAGGATGAGGCTATTCCTTTCTAATTTGTGAGGTGACCAATGAATAATTAAATTTCGATGCCAGTGTAGACTGTATAGCTCACAATAAAACAAATGTCATCATCCTGAAGCCTGGTTGACTTAGCACACACATCCATCCCCGTCCACCTCCCCCACTTCCCTTATGGAAATAAGCCTTGTATCAGTCCATTGGAAAATAATGCTCATGACAGAGGAGTTTCCCTGGATCAAGAGCTGAGTAGACCCTGGTAGTTCAAGATGTTGGTGTCCAGGTGTGTTGCAGTTTCTGTTCCAGTCTTGTGCTGGGTGTGACTTCTGCCATTTTTCGCTGCTTCTTTCATCCCAGAGAGCAAATAGCCAGAGTCAGTAGTACCTTAGAGATGTGGGTGATGTCTTTCAGCAGCATCTGATTCTGCTGTGAACACAAGCTTAACAACCTGCCAGTGCAGCTTGGACCTCTGGTATTTATATTTAAATACAAGTAAGATGTGAGCACTTGGTAGATGGGCAGCTTGGAAGGGAGAGGCAGGCCCAGGGTGACATTTAGGAATCTGGAGAATCCAGAGACCTTCCTTTCCTTCTCCCTGTACCAAGTTCCCTTTGTATAATTTTGGCAGCTCCTTCCCTCAGGCCTTGCAGCCCCCTCCAGCCACGCACTCCCATTAGTGCAGTGTGTACAGTTGTTGGCAAACACAACAAGTAGGGAAAATTAAACAGCTTGGGTTGACTACCTGGAGAGAAAACCACATATTTCATTTGCCCCAAGATACAGAATAGCTCATTTCCTGTGGTCAAAGTGTGACAAAGACATCAAACTTGAGAACTTGAAGGAGTTAAGAGACCGGTGAGTAGCTGGGCACAGCTGGATTCCAGAACACCAGCACTGGGGCCATGCCCTGCCAAAAAAGGCTTTTTGCCTTGGATATTCGGTTGGAATAAACAAGGAAGAAGAACAATAGTCTGCTTCTGTTATCTTCAAGTCATAACTGGTTGGGTTAGTGAGGATTTTGCTGTGTGAATTGTGTTGTCAGGCTCACATGGCTGTGCTGCTGTGTGTAACTGTAGAGTAAAAGCCATTGGGTTGTGTTGCATTGAGTATAACTGATGTCTTTTGTGTAAAACAGGCACTGAGTGTTTTCCTCACACACCTGTGTGTTCTTCCAGGTGGAATTTTGGCAGGTCTCATTTCAGACAGGCTGGAGAAGAGGGCATCAACCTGTGGGATGATGTTATTGCTCGCAGCACCCACGGTAAGAGATTGCCCCTCTCAGCTGTGGCTGAGACTGTGACAGCATTCCTTGGACAGTCCTGCAGGCAGCATCTTCTAACTTGGATATGAAGAGTTCAGGCAGATTAAAAACTGGCATGGAAAGTTGAGCCAAGAATAGACATTTGGGACTGCCTTTACTAAACAAGCAAATAAGTTTAATGTATTGTTTGTCATAGATTATATGGAATCTTTCACTGTGTTGTGAAAGTAGATGTGTAGTTCTTAGCCAGAATTTTACCTGCTCAGAGGCTAAAATTTCTGTGCTGTAGCTGTTGGAAAACTGGCAGTCATACACAGGAGATGCATTTTTCTTTTATTCTTTTGTGAGCACTGTTCTGTGCTGTGTTGAAGGTGCAATTGGAGAGTTTAAAACTGAGTGGTCTCATAACACAGCCCTTCCTTCTGACAGGACATACTGGGGAATAGGATCATACCCCTTTTCTCCCTCCTGTATCCAATCAAACAATCATTCTGCTGTGGTCTAAAAGGATTTAGTCAAAAACCTGGAACTAGCTTTCATGTAATACCAGCTAAGATATTTTGTAGTTAACATGGGAAAAATGGGGAACCTGGGATTAGTCTGTATGTTGATATTCAGAATGCTCATTTTTCTGGCTTCACAGTTGTACATGTTCTCTACAGTCAGTAAAATGGGACTTGAGGCTACTGTGGGTGAGTATTTTTAAATTATTCTGCCTAGCTTTCTGTGAACTTTTAATTTATGTTCCTTTGATGCTCCTTCCTTTTTATTTTATCTTTTCCCTTAGAGGAGGAAGTTTGGAAGCAAGTTCCTTAAACTTGATCTTACAGGCTTTCTACAGGGTAAAGGGAGGAGGTAGGAAGCAAGTAAAGGTTGGCATGAGAACAGTGATTTAGTTCATATAATTAAGTCTTTCTGGAGCTTGTTGTGTCAGTGCAGGCTTTTTATTATATTCCCTATACCAAATGTCAGAGGTGTTTAAAGACTACTTGTAGTACTTTTGACAGCAGTATTTACTTGTGTAGGCTGAATTCACTTGTGGTTTTCTATCTCTTACCTCAAAGCAGAAATTAAAACACAAGTGCAGACAGTAGTGTCTCCCCTGCCTTAAGGCTTCAGTCAGTTTTAGGATCCCGTGGTACTGTACAAGCAGAAAAGGGGCTTATGGGTGTATCCTGTGAGTAACCCTGCTCTCACAGTCAGTTTGGTCAAATTGTCCCCTTTTTCTGACCTACCAGGATCAATAAAGGCCCTGGGAAGTGCTTTTCGTCTCAGCCCTGTCTTCTGTTATGTTTGAGAATTCACACCATGAAATAAAGCATTTTGAAGAGAGGGAGGAATATATGTTGGTTTTCTTTCTTTCCCAGTTCTGTAATGGGGTCAGGGGAGCCAAAGATGGATTAAACCATTTGGGAACCATAGACTGTGATGTCTCCTGTTAACAGTCTTTCAGGCAACTCAGATTTTCCACTTTTTTAACTTTCTACAGTGATGCTGCTTATCAGTGGTGCCCTGGTGAATGGCCCTTATGCCCTGATCACCACTGCTGTCTCTGCTGACTTGGTGAGTTTGGCTTCCACTCCGTTTCCCTGTAGCAGTTTGGCCTCCAGAGAGAGCCCTTTGACTTCTGCAGGGTCAGCAGGGAAGGGGCTGCATTGTCCCAGAGCAGAGGAGCTGGATAGGCAGTGCTGAACTCCCACTGAGATTGTTTTAGTTTGTGTGTTAGTGTGAAGGAGTACCATGCTTGTGAGAGGCCTCTAAATTATTCTTGACCACTAACAAGGCAGCAAATCTTGTAGATGACAGCCCAACATTAACATGAATGTTGCATGCAAAGCCAGGCCACTGTACAGGTGCCTTCTCCCTTTTTATATTTCATACCTTTAAAGAAGGGGAGGAGCTGTACCTCTGTGAGAGATGAGCTGGTGACTTAATTCCTATCAGGGAAGAAAGCTATACCTGCCACAGACCTTTACAAAAGTAGAAGTATATAAAAATAAAAAGTCAGGATTCACATGGTGCCCTCAGCCCTGCAGTTACTCAGGCTGTGACAGCACTTCAGGTGGATCAGGTCACAGATGCCATGTGAAAACAACCCTGCTGCTGTTCATTGGGGAGGCTTTGGAAGGTGTTGGTTCCTTAAGGCACCAAGCAAGAAGCAGAAGTCCTCTAACAAATGTGCTAAATACAGGAAAAGGAGCAGGGCAGAAATCTCTGGAGCTCTGTCGTTGGGCTTGGAGGTCTTGGCAATACCAAGGTAGCCACAGTGCATTGCCCATTTCATCCTTGCTGAAGGGGCTGCTGGCTGGAAGGTCGGGCCTGACTCTGCTGGATATTTAAGCCATCTTCACAACATGTATCTCATGTGGAGAGGTGTGAGCTGGATGATGTTGCAAGGACTTTCTTCAGAGTTCAGCTTAGGAGGGCCTAAGCCATCTTTGTCACTTCAGGGTACCCACAAAAGCCTGAAAGGGAATGCAAGAGCCTTGTCCACGGTGACGGCGATCATCGATGGAACTGGATCTGTAGGTAAGCCTGAGCTGAGGATCACCTGCCCTGGCTGGGGTAGGTTAAAACTAAGGATCTTTGACAAACTGGGCTCTCACTTCAGCTCGCATTTTGCCAGGACTCAGAACAACTTTGAAAATGGAGAATGGCAGAGACTTGACCTGAAACCTCTAGTGGTCCCACATCTGAGGGTGGGAGGAAGAGGGCACAGACAGCAACAGTAGATGCCACTTGTTTCTAGGATCAGGGATATTTTATTCATGCCCTCTGCACTGGTATGTAGAAGGGAAAATTGAGTAACATTCAACTTAACACTAGATGATCATTTTGTTGAGCCAAGGGCAGACATTTATCACACACGTAGCCTTCCAGCTTCCCTGGGTTAGGCTTACCTTTGACTTGCATCTGTACCAGTAGTGTTTTGCACTTTCTGGGACCTTTTAATACATAAGGTAATACTGAGTTAACTAGAATCTTAGAACATGCTGAATTGGAAGGGACCCATCAGGACCATGGAGTCCAACTCCTGGCGCCCCAGAAATCCCACCCTGTGCCTGAAAGCATTGTCCAAACACTTCTTGAACTCTGTCAGGCTCAGTGCTATGACCACTTCCCTAGGGAGCCTGTTCCAGTGCCCAGTCACCCTCTGGGGGGAAAAAACATTTCCTGATACCTAACCTAAACTAGGTGGAAAAATTGATACTCTGAGTAACTGTATTTCAATATAGTACATCTTGTATTGCACAGCTTGACAACACCAATACTGTATTTTAGGTGCAGCTTTGGGGCCTCTCTTGGCTGGTCTTATTTCCCCATCTGGTTGGAACAACGTGTTTTACATGCTCATGGTGGCAGATGCATGTGCCTTGCTAGTAAGTCTACAAATATTATTTAGTGGCTGTGTATTCCCTCTGTGCAAAACTATCCCAAAATGCAAGTTTTCCCTTTGCAATTTCAATACTCTGTCTTCTGTGAAACTTCCACTGTGTAGGAAACTTTCAATTAAAGAGCAAATCTGCTCGTTTTGAAATTCTCATCTAATTTTAATCAAAAGTGGAGACTTAGATCTGATGCAGTTCCTGAGCAACAGGAATTAACAGCTGTTAATTGCTGGCTGAGCAGCTTCCAGCAGGCTTAGTTGTAAATAAACTTTCATATCCAGACCTAGAAGTTGACTCAGATTCCTCTCACAGCAGAAGGACTTTTGTTTTCTTGAAAGGAGGTTGAGCAAAGCGGTAACAAACGTTCTCCTGCGTTGCTGTATCCCCAAAATCACCGCGATAATGAAGCTGCTGAAAGTTAATACATCACATTTTCCAGATGGGCCCTAAGACTGCTGTATTAGGTTGGATGAAAAACTGGCACCCTAACTTTTGACAGTAACCAGGAGCAGATGTTTAGGGGAAAGGAGCGGAGCACGCACGCGGTGGTGGCTTGGTTCAAAGCACATCCATTTTCCCTTTTTTTCCTCCTGAAATCCTGTGTGCTTGAGAGAAAGATCTGAAGAGGGCTTTGGGTTGGGTTTGTCTCATTTCTGACTCACTCTGCTCTGCTTTTAAAGACCGAGGCAAGCACAAAAAGAGGCAAGGCAAGTCTTGCTGTACCTTCGAAGTCAGTCTTGCTGCACCCACCTGTAGGTCGCGTTCTTGTGTGTTCCAGAGATTCCCCTGGCAGGTGTCTGTACCTGCTTTGTTCTCCCCCAGACCAGAATCATGCTGTGAAGTACCTCAGAGGTGTCCTGAAGTGTCACCTGCTTCTCCTCTCCTTTGAAATCCTGGGTGGAAGTGCTCTTGAAAGGGCAGGGTGACTGTGAAACACTCCCAGGAGCTGATGCTGAGAGTGTCAGACTGTTCCTTCCTGGCATGAGAAAGTCTTGCTTTGAGTTACAGTTGAGGCTTTTTTTTTTTTTTTCTGAATTCAAGTTAACCTCAAAAATTTTAAATTTCACATTTAGGATGTGAAATCTCTGGAAATTCAGTAAATAGATTAGGCAAGTTAATAGCTGATGTATTTTGCCATATTGGTAGTCAGCAGTGTGATAAATCCTGGTTAGTGCTGTTTTCAGTATTAGGTATTTCATGCTGCAGAGTGAGGTTTTGGAGCTTATTGTACTTCTCCCAAGTGGACCTAAAGCTCTGTTGTTTTTTTTTTTCCTTTTATAGTTATTGATTAAAACCAAGTGAAAATAAAAAAAAAACACCAGGTTTCTTTGCAGAATCGATTAAAACACTACATTTCTTTGCAAAATCGATTAAAACACCTTTGCAAAGCTCTGTTCTTGAGAGGTTTGACCCAGCTGTTGTAATAAATCCTCTTGTTCTGGTTTTACTGTCCTTTCCACTACAGCATAAAGTGTTCAAATGTTATTTCTTCAAGGGAGCCTAGAGGGGCTTTAGTCTCTTACGTGGTGTTCAGTTCTGTCATTCTTGGCCACTTCTCTACCTCTAAAATGTTAGTTTTAACTTCTTAAAACACTAATACTTAGAATAGTGAAGAAACTTCTATTTTATAACAGTGAGAGTCTGAGGATAATGCAACCTGAAACAGTGAGGAACCCTGAACATTCTATTTCTGTCTTTCAAGTACGTGAGAATCACCAATTTTAATCACTTTGCTGGTACTGTCTTAGTAGTCCTTTTAAAGTGCACTTGAAATTCCTGATCCAGCACAGACACACCAACTTGGCTCATCTTGACTAATTGTGTGATTAAAGCCTTTCACACACAGAGTTGTTTTTCCAAATAACAGTTAAAATACTTGTATGCTCCAAAATTTCTATCTGCCATGTTTTCTTGAAGTCTTGGGTTCCCTCTGCTGGTTTCTTTACATGTTTGCCAGAAAACCATTCTGGTTTTTTTATGAAAAAACTGATCTCTTAGTTGCAGAAAGGAAATTACTTTCCTCTTGGCTATTCATTGTGAAAACTCCTCCTCCAAACATTGACTGAGCATCTGTAAATCTTTGAATTTTTTAAATTTATTTTTTTCAAAACTGAGTTAAGCATTACAGGGTAATATTTCAAATGAGAAACTCTTCAAGTAACAATGAACATCTTATCCTGAAATAAGTTTCTTAGCTTATTTGTTTGTCTGTTTATAGATACTAACACAGATATTGTGATTGTTTTCGCAGCTCTTACTCCGTCTTATTCAGAAGGAACTTCAGTGTGATGCAGATCACACTCTGTAAGTGCTATGTATTGCTGTTGCTTGTTAATAATGGTTTAAAACATGTTGCTGATCCTTTCTTATATAATCATCAAGGTTGGGAAAGACCTCCAAGATCATCAAGTCCAACCTTTGCCTTGTAATGCATAACTTAGACTGAAAATGTTACAGTTTATGTATGTCCATTTATGTCTGGGTTAATTTTGCTTCAAAAGAATAATCCCAGTTTGATGTTTTCAAATCATGAACAGTTTTCTTCAGAACATCTTTTAAAAATATCTGAAAACACACTTCTGTCACAGTCTCTTGGTTATGGTGTATTTTTTCCTGAGTTTCATCCTGCAGATGGGGAATAAACCCCTCTATTCCTTGGTCTGTGTTTAATAATAGTTTCAAATGCACATTTTTCCAAAAGGTCCCCTTAAAGAAAAGGGTGACTCTAAATTTACAGTGGTTTGAATGGAGGGGGGAAAAAAAATCCGCTGAATCAGTGGGGTTATGCCTGCAGATGCAAAATCCAAATTGAGCCCCTTGTTTGCAGTTTTGGAGAAGTAAAATGGAGAGAGAATAGAAAACACATGGCAGGGGATGGATCGTGGACTTTGGAGTTGGTGACTGTTATGTCTCACACCTCAACCTTTCCCACCTGGTTTGTTCTTTCCCAGGTTTAAGGAGCACTGAGCTACAAGAGCAGAGCTGGAATAAGGACTGTGCCAGTGGTCGGAGCTCTTCCCTGAAATCCAGACTTCATGGGATGTATTATTCTGTATTTAAGAGATTCTGTTTGGTGAAGAACTTTGCACCATTACTGGAAAGCAACGTGAGAAATGCAGCTGGTAACTCCCTGAAGCTCTTTATTTTTGCACATGAGTAAGTACCTCAGGATGGCAACTATTCATCAGGCGAAGAGATGGGAACTTTGGGAAGGTTTTAGCAGCACGCCTCAACTGAGCCAAAGAGAAATACCAAGTGCCTTTTTTGTTTCTTTTGATAGGATGTTTTTAATTAAACTTATGAACTGTGTTTTTGCCAAAAATCAAGGCGAAACTGGAGCAGAAGGAAGTTGAAGTTGTACCAGCCCAGCAGTGGCTGTCCCAGTGTCAGTGAGCAAAGTGTGTGTTTCTTATGTCATCTTGTGTACATTGAGGGCATCTCTTTATAGAGGACAACATCAGCTGGTTATTAAGATGTGCTGCTATTAGTATTTTGAAGCTGCTCAGACAGTAGCCACCCACTGTATTATTAGTTTTTAACTACAGTACTACTTCCCAAGGACAACATCCAGCCTTTTGGTAGGCAGTGGAATGGAATTTACTCTTGCCATGTACTGCAGTTAGCAGTTTTCACAGAATCTCTGGATGAGTGTTAATCTTTAGTTAGGATTGTGCAAAAAAAAAAAAAAAGGAGTCCTAAGCAACAAAAAGCAGCTTATGAGTCAGAATTTCCAGTGGGGGCTCTAATGATTTTCAGGGCATTATAAACTGACTGTGCAAACGTCACATAATTGTCTACCAGGCTGGGCTGAAATGAGAGGTGGTTTCTTGTGAACTGTGAGCTGTCCTTTTTCTTACAGCACTTGTGGCTTGAGCAGATGAGCTGCCTCAGTGCCCCCTTGCCACAGGGATCTCTGTTGGGTACTCGTGATTTCAGTGCTGGGGTGCACACGTGGAAGTTGCAGATCAGGGCCTTAATATCCAGAAATCTCTCTCAAGTGGCTCATTTCCAGTGGCTCTGAATTTCAGATTTGGAGCCGAAATATCAGAAAAATTACCTGTGTGGGCAGTAGTTTGTAAGAGAACATTTGAGTAACTAGTGTTATCCAGCAAATAGATGGTTTAATGTCTTCAGAACATATAATTTCTTTGTACAGCTGCTTTGCAAACAGATGTTTCTGTGATTCTTTTCTTTTTTAAGATGTATAAAGTGAAAAGAAATCCTTTTTGTATGAGGTGTTTATACTTAAATCACAAAGGCTAGATAATTTAAACCATGTGTTGTCCTTAACTGTATTTATTAAAGCTCTAGGAATATGTCTTGTTCTGAACTATGCTCTTAAGTTCTGTGAAACAATGCAGCAGTCTTTACACTTGATTAACAGAACACTCTAAAACAGTCCTGCAGAAATGTCCCATCAGCTGCTGGTGTTGTGTTCCACGTGCTGGCACAACACCTAATTTCCAGGGCTGTAATTTTGTAGTTGCTGAGTCTTTTGAGTCGCTTCACTGGTTTGATTCAGCACCTGATTTATGCTTGACTTGAACACTGTAAGAAGGGGCTCGTTTTAGAAGGAAAACCTCAGTGCCACAGGGCCTTAAGGAAGGTATTGGGTCCTTGCAGAGGAACTGTAGGTAGGCCCTGTCCCTGCACTTACCTGGATGAATGGTTGACTTCACACATTTTGGGTAAGCCTGTTCAGACCACTGGGGAAGGTCTCGACATCTGAATGCATGAATCTGGGCTGGGCTTGGGCTTTGGGCTGCAGTTAAATGTGAAGGAATTCTGCAGCAATGTTACTTGAAAGGACTTCTATCCCAGTGGACTGAACCAGCAGAGCTTTATATTTTTATTGAAACAATTCAAACCCTGCTGTGCTCAGATTTTGAGAAGCTGTTCCCTGTGGGCCGAGGTCTTAGTTTAAAAAGCTTTTGGTTGTATTTTGCAGTTACAGGCTGTAAAGATACTTAACTGTGTTTTGGGTTTTACTTGTTGGGGCTGCTGCTGTTATTTATTTATTTATTTGAATAGCTTTTGCACTTCAGTGACCGGGGTAGGGGTTAATGATGAAGCTGGAGGTGCTGGGCTGAGGCCTTCCTTGCATCGATTGTAGGCAGGAATTGGGACTCTCAGTCTGCCCATATCTCCTTCCATGTCAATCTGCAGCATTTTGGTTCCTCCCAGCTACAAAATTGCTGGACAAAAAGACAAAGATTTGCTTTTCGTTCTTGAAAACTGAAGATCCCCCAGGTTGTGGATAAACAGTGTGTTTTGTTAGCATTGGGTGTCAATATTCATTGATCTGGAAATGAGCAAGACTGACAAAGTTGTGTGTGTAGAAATGTGAGTGACCAGTAGGTACAACTAAATTTAAATATCATTGCAGGGTTCGTTTGTTGTTTTTTAATGCTGGTTATTGTGAATTTTATCCTTTACCAACCTGTGTTGAATAAAAACAGATTCTGTTCTAAAATGAGAAGTGATGACTACTTTATCTTTTACATCTCCATGAAGAAATGCTCCATTTATTGGCTGGAAGGACAGATATCCCTGCTGGGACAGCACTTCTGTCCGTTGTGAGATTAATGAAAATGGCTCATTAGGAGAACAAATTAGAACCTTTTGTTTTAAAATCAGTGCCCTTCTTAATTTCAACATGTAATTTATTTTCGTTTTGTGGAACTGTGGTTTGTACAACATCAGTATTTCCAATCAGCTGCATCAGATGGATATATTCTGCTTACTTTGGTGTAGCAGGGAAGGAGACACTTGCCCGAGTCCACCTTGACACATAGTTTTAAGGTGACTTTTTTTGTTGTCTGCTTGGCTTGGTCTTCAGTATATATGGAATTGAAATTGAAAGGCTTCACCCTTTCTCTCTTGCTCTAATCACCTTGAGTATTTGTTGTTTTGATTCTGTTAGGATGTCTGATGGGGTCTGTGTGCCTCTGCCTGAGATAAAATGTCCAAACGACAGACGCGCTGGGGAAAAACTGACTGGAAAGGAAAACAATTTCTGGTTACAGAATTTCTGATCTAAATGTGCCTGAAGGGCCTTCCAGGAACAGGCAAATAATAGCTGGGGTGCCTTATAAAAGAAGGGAGACCAGAGCCCCATTTTTTTTCTGCCTGATGGGGAGCAGGAGCCTCCAGCAGGTCCTTGGACCTTTGGGAACACTCCAGCTGTTGCCAAATACATGTCAGTGGAGGTTTGTCCCCACTGGGTGTAGGAAGGGTTTATATAGGGTGGGAAAAAGAAAAATAGGTAGCAGGGAAGGTGGTGCTGTGTTCACAGGTTGCTTTGAGACTCCTTTTGCCTGTAAGTTAAACTGCTAACTCGCTGCATGCACTAAGACAGACCTACTCCTCAATGTTTTGTCAGTTAGGAAATTCCAGGAGGGATTCTACTATCCATTTCAGGAGGTTATTGTATTTTCGTCTGGCATAATATCCTTAGAATAACAACTGGGATCCACCAGTATGTTTGTGCCAATGTTGTGCTGCCTCTGACTTTGGCTGACCTCCTCATGTTTAGGCTTGGGAATCTGTTGGGTTGCTGCTGGTAGGTTTCTCCAGTGACAAATGTTTGTATGGGAAGTGCTGCTGAAAACTAGGCAGGTGTAAGATGGTGTAAATGAAATCAGAGGATGTTTAGAGCTGTTGGAGGCCGCTGGTTTTCATACGGAATGAATTTGGGGAAGATTGTTTACAATTCCATCAAATGATGAGGCCCGGAGTCAGTAATGGTGGTGTTTTATGGTCTGAATGAAATTTTGTGGCCTGTATATTAAGTAAATAGTTAGATTAGATTATTTCATGATTTGTCCCAACCTCTGACAGGATATTCTGATTGCTGACCTACATCACTTTCACCTTAGAGCGAGTCTGGTTTGATTTTGTTTTGCTCTCTGCTGAAGCAGCCACGTGATGGTAGGGACATGTCCTGCCGTGCCTGGGGAGGGACTGCAGACCCCGCTGGGGGGGCTGTGTCTGTGTCCTCTGGGGCTCTGGGAACCTGGAACTACATTTGCTGACATGCTGAGTTAAAAATCTGACTGTCATCCCTACAGCTGGGCAGAGGGAAGGGGAAGATTGAGCTGCTGGCCGTGCTTCAGTCTGGTGCCCAATGACCTTAACATTGTGTTTTGTGTCTCACTGCCTGAGTTTAATAAACTGGCTTGTTACAAAATGTTAGTTGTTTCCTTCTTTGTCTCCCTTCTTTTGGTTAGTTTCCAGTTTGGAATAAGGAGATAATTAGTTGGTGCGTGGGGTTTGTTTTTACTTTTTATCCTTTGTGTTTCCGCTCTATACCAGTTACCCTTTGGCTGCAGTGAAACATTCACAGCTGGTAAATTGCAAATACAAAAGCCAGACTTTCTTTAGGAGTGTTCCAAGAACCTGCTCATCTCCTGCAGTAGGAGATCATCTACAAAAAAATGTCCAAAGTCTCTTTTGATGCTGTACTTAGGGTTTATCTCCCTCCTTCTCTTACAGCTGTCAAATATTTACCCTCTTTTTCACAATATTCGCTTTGGTCCAGTTGTTTGTTTCAGCAGAGGGGGACACTAAACTGACTTCACGTGTACTGCTGTGTAAGTATAAGCACTGGAATGGTGTTACAAGGCTGGAGTTATTTTCAGTTTGTCTGCTCCCTAAACAGGTGGTCTGAATTTCTTGGGTTGTTCAGAAACCAGCGGCAGCTTCTTGTGTTGAGGCCAGAACTCGAAGCAGCAGCCTGAGTTCACGTGCTGAAACAAAGTGATCAGCAATTTCTGAGTTCTCACCTCTTTTTGTGATACAGTATGGGCAGCCCATGATAGCTAAATTACATACAGGCAAAACTTTTGGAAGGAGTGAGTTTCTTCTGAATTTTTCTACCAACACAGCGGTGTTATTTCTGCTGCAAGGACGGAGTATTATATTCGAGTCTGAGTCACCCAATTTCACCACAGGCCACATGAGGCTTCAGCTTAATAAGTACAGCAGGTTCTGAATAAATTGCTCTGATCATCTGGTTGGAAACAGCTGAATGTTGTGTCGTTCTGTGGCACAGTCTGCAGGTTTAGTTTTATACCAGTAGGTAACAACGGGATTCAATTCAGCCATCACTGTTAGAAGTCTTCATAAAGCTTCTTCTCCCTTTTCCTCTGGCTTCAGCTTTCGTGGTACATGGCAGGAAGAAAGTGTGGTAACAAAGAACCTGAGAGGTCACAAAAAAAAATATCAAAAGCATATTCTCTCTTCCAAATTTTGCTCGCTTGCTTGGCACCAGGGGAAATCCACTGCCACAGCTGTTCCGCATTCTGTCTGCAAAAAAGGTGGCTGAAAGTAGAGGAAAATAGAACCTTCTGATTTCCTTGCTATGATTTTTACAGTGGCAGTTCTCAAAATAGGGGTCACCAGCCCAAAAAGGCAGAACTGGGTGGACTGACAAATCCAGGGTGCAGGCAGAGAAGCCCAAGAATGGTTGGTTTAGGACTAATAGCTGTATTAGATTAGACAAAATAAATTGCCATGCAGTTCCCTGTCAGGCAAATGATGAGACTCTAAACTTATCCCAGACATCAGCAAATAATCTTTTGAGGAGGATGAAATCCCTCTCCAGCAAAACACCTAGAAATGGTGCTGGAAAGGATGAAATTACCTGAGCATCTGAGGCAGAACTAACACATGCAGTTCTCAGAACAATTTTCCCTGTCATTTGAAATGAGACCTCTCAGTAGAAATGTTTCAGATGATGTAAGCCTTACAGTAACAGGGAAAACAAAGCTCCTGTGTTTGTCCTGCTTGAAATCATCTAATAAAATAATGCATCTGTCAAAGCAGCATTTAAATGTCATTCCTGTGTGTCATCAGAAAGGAAATGTTATTCTGAAATGCAGACTGGTTCCTATACACAATTTTTTCAGACTTCCCAGACCCATAAAAGCAGTCAAAATGGATGATTAGCAGCTCTGGTAGAGTCACCTTATGCATCCCTGGAAACATCAGGAGCTGCCTTCTATAAGTTGTTTTTCCCGTCTCTGTTGTTCAAGCACAGTTGAAATTGCCCTCATAAATGGGTTCTGTTGGGAAAAACAACAACAAACAACACCATGATAAACTGCCTTGCTAGTCTGATTTTTTTTTTTTTAAGCCAAAAAAAAAAAAAAAGATCTAGTGCTGGGTGACTTTCCAACAAGTTTAGTATTCTGTGGCATGAATCTGTTTTCAAGCAAGTTTGTCCAGTTAATTACCTTGTGAATTACAATTTGATTCACCCAGAGTCAGATCCTGGATCGTTTTGGAGCAGGCAGCCTTTGCTGGGCTCTGCCTGGCACAGGTATCCAGGCTGCCTGCTCAGCTGATGCTCCCTTGGGGGGATGTGCTGGGCTGGGATGCCAAGGGCAGGATGCTTTCACAAAGTGATCCTTGATGATGGATTTTGTGTCTTGGGAGGACTCTACCAAGTTTAAACCTTTAGAATGAGAAGCAGAGCTGGTTGCTGAAGGCTCTCAAGGGATCCTGGCAAAAGAAACACAGGGCAGATGCACCTGGGGAGCAGCAGTGGCAGCACTGGGGAGAAACTGGACTCCAAAAGCAAGAGGAGCAGTAGTGTAGTGTTGGGATGTGCTAATCTTGTAGGAGGTTTGGGTATCCTCATGGAGGACTCAGTGGAAATTCCTAAAATTAATATTCAGCAATGCAGGAACAGCAGGTAATGGTGGTGTTTGTTGCAATATGATGCTGTAGCACACCAGCAATATTTAATTCATGGAGCCACCACGTGTCTCAGAGGGGTGTGCGTGTGTTTGGAGAGGGGGAAGGAAACATGTTCATAGTGCGTGTCATGCCTTAAAACTTTATAGAGCCTCTCACAGCCATGGAATGTGCACAGAGACATGGACACACAAACCAGGCACCTGCTGAAGAGCAGCTCCTCTTCTTCAAACACAGCTCCAGTCTCAGTGGCTCGCTCTGGGAACGTGGTGTGTTTGGGTGGGAGGAGGGGAGAGGGGTGTGCAGAAGGAAAGCAGGCCAAAAGCACCATTTTATTAAGTGAAACAAAGTGGTGTGTTGCCTTTGGCTCTCTCCCCCTGGCGCGAGGGTCAAGCTCCAGAGCAAGCAGGGCTCGGTGTGTCTGCAGGGATCCTGCTTTGCTGGTGAGTGATTCCAGCTCCGTGGCTCTGCTGCCGTGCCTTGGGCAGGAGGATGTACTGCTGGCTGGGGGGCTGGATGGCAAATTGCAGGGAGGTGTCACCCCATGGGTGAAGTGGGGCTGGGGGAAGAACGTGGAGCCCTTTCGGCCGTGGCAGGTGAAGGCACTGAGGCAGAGAGTGGGGAACAGAGCAGAGGT